GGGCAAGGCCGCGACGGGCCGAGAAAGCAGGGGGCCGTGACGGGCCGTTAGGGCTGGGCCGCGACGGGCCGAGAAGGCAGGGCCGCGACGGGCGGCACTAGGGCAGGGCGCGCGACGGCGCAGGTGAGGCAGGCGCGAGGCGCGCTTCGGGCAGGGCAGGAAAAAAAAATGTTATCGTGGTGGGCCCTAAAAAAAACGTTCCCACGAGGGAACCTGCTTAGAATACCATGTCAGAATAGTGAAGGAATGAATGACTGAACTAGCAAGCAGGTGGGTACAAGTAGGAAACCTAAAAGTGTTGTACCCTATATGAACTACCCCACTACAGCCTAGACAGACTATAGCATATAAGTTTGACAACGACAGCCCGAAGACAGCTTTTCGCACACGCTACGGCAGTTACGAGTACACCGTGATGCCTCTCGGCCTGACAAACGCGCCCTCGACGTTCCAGTTAACCATGAACGGGGTGTTCCGGGACATGCTGGATAAAAAAAAAAAAAAAAGTTATCGTCTACCTCGACGACATCCTGGTGTACAGCAAAACTAAGGAGGAGCATTTCAAGGATCTGGAGGAAGTGTTTCGGCGCTTACAACAGAATCGGGTAATTACGAAGGGCTCTAAGTGCGAGTTCCTCAAGCCGGAACTGGAGTTTCTGGGGCATGTGGTTTCAGGAGATGGCATTAAAATCGACCCTCGGAAGGTGGACGCAATCGCTAAGTGGAACCCGTCGACTAACATCACCGAGCTGCAAAGTTTCCTGGGGTTTGTGAATTACGTCCGCCGGTTTGTACCTAACATGGCTGGGGTAACCAAGCCTCTAACGACCTGCTGCACAAGGACACGTATTTTCAGTGGGGGGAGAGGGAACAATCTGCATTCGACACCCTCAAAAATATTTTGAGTTCACCCCCGGTCCTCCGCCTCGCCGACCCATCTCGACCATTCGAAATCATCACGGACGACAGCGATTTCGCTATTGGCGCCGTCCTTCTACAGGATTTCGGCAAAGGGCTGGAACCCATCGCGTATGAATAACGCAAGATACAGCCACCCGAGCGCAACTACCCAGTCCACGGCAAGGAAATGCTGGCCATCGACCACGCGTTTCGTGTCTGGCGCTGCTACTTGACGGGAGCCGACGTGACGATCAGAACCGACCACAAATCGCTACAATACCTACGAAGCCAACCAACACTCAACCCGCGACAAATCAGGTGGTTGGACTACCTGGATTCCAACTTCAGCTACACTGTCACGTACAAGAAAGGCGCCAACAACATCGCCGACTCCTGGACACGACCATCCATGCAAACCGCAGCTGTACTAGTCGCCCACACCAGCCCGATTTTAACAGGACTATTCACCCACGGCTACACAATCGACAGGTTCTTCAAGACTCTTCACCAACGGGCTACGACACCACACGGGAAATATTACCTAAATGCTGGTACGAACCGGATTTGGGTCCCCGAATACCAACCCCTCCGGGAGCTGCTGACGCAGGAGGTTCATGACTCCAACCTCTCCGGGCATTTCGGCATCGACAAAACACTCAAGCTGCTGCAGAGGAATTATTATTGGCCCGACATGCTAACGGACGTGCAGCGCTACGTGACAACATGCCCAACCTGCCAAGCCATGAAGTCGTCGCGACAACGACCAGCTGGATTGCTGCAGCCCCTCGAGCCACCCGAACGACCGTGGCAACAAGTGACGATGGACTTCGTCACGGGACTGCCAGCTGGCGCAAGTGGCAACGACTCAGTGCTGGTCATCGTTGACCGATTAACGAAAATGGCGCACTTCGCACCATGCCGAACGACGATCACAGCCGAACAAACAGCGAAGTTGTTCATCTCCACCGTCGTACGCCTACACGGGTTACCTTCGGCGATCATCAGCGATCGGGATCCGAAATTTACGTCGAAATTATGGCAAGAGACATGGGCGCAGTATGGCACCCTTCTGCATTTTTCGTCGTCTTACCACCCGCAAACCGACGGTCAGACCGAGAGGACAAATCAGACCATGGAGCATCTGATACGCACCAACTGCCCTGACCTGACCAAGTGGGAGGACTTGCTCCCGATGTTGGAGTTTGCGTATAACAACGCACCCTCCGCCACGACAAAACAATCGCCCTTCTATCTAAATTACGGGATAGACCACGTGGTACCCTCATCCACGACCCCCGACAATCTGGTACCACGGTCACAGCAGTTCGTCACGGAACTTCAAGCAGCTCGCGACAAAGCAGCCGAGTTTATACGGAAGGCTAATACCGTCGCTAGCCGCAATGCGGACAAACACCGAAGGGATGTACCCTTCCGAGTCGGGCAGATGGTCTTCTTGGACACGAAGAATCTTCGACTGCCCCAGCCTGCGAAACTTCGCCCCCGCTACGTGGGACCATTTCGCATTACTCAGATGGTGACACCTGTCACGGCACTGTTATTGCTCCCCGACGACTGGAAGATACACGACGCATTCCACGTCAGTCTACTGCGTCATTACGATGCACCCCAGTCGCCGACCGTCGCCCGACCAAATATTGCGCCAAGCGTTCGACCTGTGGCAGAACCGATACTCGAGCCATGGAAGATTCTGAGCCATCGCGTGGATCTAACGGCCTCAGGACGCCGCGTCGTCGTCCTACTCCGCTGGAAAGATCGTACAAGCGACGACGACACCTACGTTGACGCTGACTCACTACAGGGGCATCCGGTTCTGCAGGATTATTTGACTCGCCGGCGCGTCCCGGATATACACCGCCTTTCTTAAAAGGGGGGCTAGTGTAAGGAATTTTCCCTAATTCCTTACTGAGTCACACTGTACGCGTACAGACCCCAACATTTCGGAGTTCAGGCTCGGTCCGACAACCTCGCCCTCCGAACCATCATCTCGTCGCCTTCGGGTTTCCCAACACCGAACCTGCACCCAGCCATCCGCGGTCCCGCGACCTTGACCTAGTTAGCAGTTGCTATATTAGTGCTAGGCTTCATTATTTGTTCAGTAGTTGTTATCACTTCCGCGTTATTGAATCCTGCGCACTCTTTTCATTACAACTCATAACAGTTGAGGGGTTTTTAAAGCTGAAGTATACATTTGCAAGTACTGTTTAGGGTTGCACTGTAGCCAGGGAGAAATTCGCCAGAACGAAACAACTGAGGGTGGCGAGAGGTTTGGCGAAAAATTGCAGCTTCGAGGAGCTCCAAACACGGGAAATTCCCCCGTCACCCAACCTTGCACTCACACACCCACTCCAGCAGTGCTCATACTCACTACAGAAATAGGGGAAAATTCTTACAAGCGGCTTATGTAAACAAGCAGAATGGTTACCACAGTGCAAGCCCTAATTTCATAAAATTGGGATATCTGCTATTTTTCAAATAAGATATCTGGAGCCGGTTCAGGCAGCAAAGGGGCCGGATTTAAATGAATCATCAGGTGGAGTCTCTACATGTGGAAGCATCTTCCATGAGCAATGCTACCGGTAATTGTGAACTGTTCTTGCAAGCCCCATTTCATGACATTAGTCTCAAAGAGTGTAACTTTCCAGCTTCTACGGAAGGGAAAATTCTTGAGCATCCATTTTTTTTTAACATATCACGAATCTCGTAGTCTCGTAGTGGTTACGACTGCCTTCTTCGACGACGGGAACACTGCCAGTAATTACAGCATTAGTTTCTTCTTTTTGAATGTTTATTTTCTTATGTTTATAGTCGTTAGTGGGTTCATCGATTTCCTGAATCTTGGCGATGGTTTGATGGTTCGACACCTTCTCCGAAGCTCACTCACTCAAACCTCACCTCCACGCCAAGCCTTCCGCCATTCATGGCAAAGTTTCGTTCCGCCCATGCACAGATCGAGGCTGGCGGGATGCCGTCAGCCTCACATTCCAGGGTGTTATCCGCGCCTCCGCACCATACCCAATCCCTTCGCTTCGGCAGCTTGCGCAGCTCATCCCCTCTGCCCTCGACCTTGACGCGCCCTTGGCGGGAAACCCTTGCCTCGGGTTTTGGCACTTTGAGAAGGGGCTTGCGTTTGGCTTTTGGCTGCCTGAGTGAAATTTTCCTGCCCTCGAGTGCTTTTAGGCTGCGGAGCAACCCGTGTGATTCGAAACAAACGTCGTACGGTACATTTACAAAATACCGCCCAACCACTCCGACTGACTCTTCGCAAGCACAACCCCCTGCTCCCCAGCTTCCTTCCCGCCAGCAATTTGCGGATTCGTTCTCCTAAATTGAAACCTACCCTTCTAAGGACTGCAGCTCCAGACCTGAATCAGCTGTTCGAACACATCGATAGTCCGGGCTCAAGCCCTTCTGCCTCCCGTCGTTGCGACTCGCATGCGTCCTCGATAGTAGACCATCGGAGCTTGGCAATGCAACCGAGCGAGCATGACTGGTGGCGGGACTGCTTCACACGTGGCAATTCCGGCCTATTCCTCCGAGTCGTGTTTATAATCGCCCTGCTTCTCTTCGCCTCCAGCCAAGTTGCGAACTCCAGCAACCTCAAAGAATCTTCCAATAAGGAACCCAAGAAATCAGCTTATATTACCAGTCCCAAGCATAGTCCGAGTCACCGCAGCTCTGAAGAAGTGGTGCCGTTTGTCGATTCGAAGGACACGCGCGGAATAACCGCTGATCCTGCCACGTCAGACGGACCTGTCGGCACCATTGTTCCGTCGCAATCGACACTTCTTCCGAGGTCCAACCGTTTCCACCAAAAACACCCGGCTGCTTCTTGTAATGCGTTCATTTCTCGTTTGCGGTTCCGTGCCCAGCGTATTCCCTTGAACTCCTGTAACGTTGAGAGCAGTCCTTACTAAGTTCTCACTATGTCCGCTTCTTGGAATATATTGTTTCTTCTCAACTCCTTCCAATCCCTCTCCTATCCTTATCCCTGTTACCCCCTCGTTTCGAGTCCCAGTCCCAAGAACATTTTTTTTTCCTATTGTTTGTTCCCAATCACTATACCTCCCGACCCATCTCAGACCATCCTCCTCGTCGAATGTTCTAATCACGCTATTAGACGGCTCGATAAGAGCCGTAGACTCGCGAACCGGCGAGGTGAAATGGACGTTCGCGTCCGGCCAGCCGCTCGTCTCCGCCGCCGGGCCCGCGCAGGGAGCAGGAGCGGAAGGGGGACTGGCGGAAGGGAGGCTGGCGGAAGGTGTAGGGGGAAGGGGAGCGGAAGAGAGTGCGCGGGGGGGGAAGGCTAGGCATGGGACGGCGGAAAGATGGGGCGGGGGAGATGAGGCGGACTGGGACTATGAGGAGGATGAGGATGAGGATGAGGAGGAGGAGGAGGAGGAGGGGGAATGGGGATGGGGGGGAGTGAGGAGCGGAAGGGAGAATGGTGCGCGTGGCGGTGGGGATGTTGGGAGTGGCGGGAGTGGGAAGAGAGGCGGGAAGGGGGAGGTGGGAAAGGGAGGGGGAAGGGAAGGGGGCAAGGAGATGGTTATTCCGGGGGTGAATGGGCGCCTGTACTCGTACAGAGAAGGGCTCGGCTTGCAGGTACGTACTTGGGTTCTGTATGTGCGTGGAAAAAGTGTAGCGAGAGAGAGAAAAAAGAGTACATGCATGGAGGGAATCTGTATGTGCGTGGACGGACTGTGTACAAGTGGGTATGCGTGGAGGTGTGGACAGTGGGTATGTGTGTGTGGAGGTGAGGGCGGGGGGGTCGTGTAGGCGAGTCAAAGGTAGGTGGGAAGTTGTATTGTCATGTCAGGCACCGACAGGCATTACCTTGCTTCCCGTCACGCCTCTTGGGAATGTCGCGCCACCCCTCTCCTCCCCTCGTTCTACTCCACACCATGGAAACTGCTTCCCACCCTCCCTTCCCCACACAACGCCTTCCCCTCCCTCCCGCCCCCTCTTCTTCCCCCTTCCTCGTCTTACCTACCTCCCATGTGGCCACAATGCCTTGCCAGCAACCAGCCCTCTCTCCCCACTTATCTCCTCCCTCCCTCCCCTCCCCCTCCCCCCCCATTTCGTCAGGAGCTGCCCGTAACAGCCAAAGAGCTCGTGTCCGCCTCGCCTTCAGTCACGCGCGATGGCGCCACCGTGATCGTTGGATCGCAGAAATCAACGGCCTTCCTGCTCGACCCAGTCACAGGCGCCGTGCTCCGCTCCTTCGACCCGCTCGCTCCTCCGGGCGGCGGTGGCTTGTCCTTTTCTGCGACTAGTAATGATGGGAACGAGCAGGCGGACAGCCCACTGGCGGAGTGTCTGAAAATGGCAGAAGAGGAGGGCGGTGAAGGCATGGAGGTAGATGGAGGGGTTGGGTTCCTGGAAGGTTCGAGGAGCAGTGAGAGGGAGGGAGCAGCAGACGTGCAGCAGCAGCAGCAACAGAGGAAGAAGAAAGAGTGTGATCGCTTGCTAGCGTCTTCCCTGCTGGTGCTCCGAACCGATTATGTGGTTCGGGCGGTGGAGCTGAGGTCTGGCAAGCAGCGGTGGAACGTCAGCTTCGGCGAGCTGAGCCCCATGAATGGAGCTCTGCTGGGGCTAGCAGGAGGCGTGGGGGGGGGCGTGGGGGGCGGAGCACCGATTGGGGGAGTTTTGGGGGGAGCGCTGGGGGCAGGAAGGGGAGGCGGAGGGGGAAGATCAGGGATGGATCTTACAGGTAGAGGTATTTTTGGTGGTCATGGGAGTGGGGTGCCGAAACGACAGCTCTTGCCATCCAGCGTTCCTGGAGAAGATACGGACCCAGATATTGATCTGGGTATTGGGGCGGGGGGACAAGGGCAGGGGGATAGAGACGAGATTGGAGGTTCAGGGTTGGCAGGATTCAACACAGGGTTAACCGCTGCAGCTACCACGAGTATAGACCCATCTGAAGAGGGTAATTCTGACATCTACTCAATCCAGCTGACCAACTCGCAAAATGGTCAGCAGGCATGGCAGACGACTTTTTCATCTGCCCCGCTTGCAGCGTTCACGCCGTCGGGCAGGCTGGTGCAGGAATTCGTGTCGCGCGATTCGTCCAAGGACACGGGGCCAGGGCAGGTGCTGTATGTGGGGCGAGTGGCTGGCAGCCCGTTCGCCCTCGTCACTCCCAGCGCCACCCACGCACCCAACGCTGCCCTCCCCCTCCTCCCGGCCTCGCCTCACTCTCCCTCGCCCTCTGATGGCCTGCCTGTGGGCATGTCTGCAGGCATGTCGGCTGGTGGGGGGGTGGGGGGTGGTGGTGCAGTGGTGGGTAGGACAGGCAAGTTCACAGTCACAGAGCCGCCCAGGATTGCAGGGACGCGAGGAGCTGGAGCTGCTGCTGGGGAAGCTGGTGATGGGAATGGCGGTGGTGGTAGGGGCAGGGGTAGAAATAGGGGCAGGTTAGGCACTGGTGGTGCTGGTGGTGGTGGTAACGGTGGTGGTGGCAGTGGGGATGATTCGCTGTACCCCACAGTGGTGAGGGCGCCGGGAGCAGCAGCTGCACTGTATGACGCCATGGGGTGCGCTGACAGCCCTGCTGTGCACGGGGGCGCTGACTTGGCGGGCGCTGAGTATGGAGCGCAGGGCCCCTGGAACGACCATCAGGGACCCTCAGAAAAGCAGCAGGGGTTGAATAGGGAGCAACAGCAGCAGCAGCACTACAGTATGCAGCAGCAGCGAGCGCCAAGCCCAGTGGCAGCAGGCATCGACAGGAGCAGCAGCACGGATGGGGATGACTCTTTAGGCTGGACCGGCATGATCAGCCTGTGGGGCCGCGGCACTGGCGGGGGTGACACTATCGAGGTTGCTAGTAACGTGGATATGGAGTTTGGTGCAGGCAGAGGGGAGAAGAATCGCCGTCTTGGCCCCCCTAAAGACATGGAGCCTGCTGTTGGGCCCCAGGCACCGCCTACCCCACCGAACCTCTTGTCCTCGTTCGGGATCCTGGCTGCCGCAGCTGCCACCCTGGCTGGGATAGTCGCCGGCGCTTCGGTATTCTCTTACTCCTCCTCTGCCCCATACTCCTCCTCCTCTGCTGCAGCTGCTGCTGCTGCATCTGGCCGAGGTGGCACTCCTGTAAGGAATCAGAGGCTCAAGGCGCAGCATAGGCAGGCCTCCTCCTCTCACCCTCCCAGACATGCTTCGCACATGAATGGTGCGCCCAGTGGCAGGGGGGCGTATAGAGGAGGGGCTACTAACGAGGATGGGTTGTCGTGGGTGGCACGAGGGTTGGTCGCGCAACTGCCGGCTTCCTGGCAAGAGTGGGCGGCTGAGCGGTTAGGTGGGGGTGGCAGTGGCAATGGCAGCAGCAGCAGGAGACGAGGCAAGCAGGGAGCCGGTAGGAGGAACAAGAGTTCAGAAGGAGCAGCAGGTGGTGAAGCAGCAGCAGGGGGAGCGGAAGGTGGGCTGCTGGGCAAGCAGCAGGACGACCTGGCCAATGGGATCGCGCCACCTGGACAGGACGACCCAGGGGAAGCAGGAAGGGAGGATTCGGGGCAGGGCGAATCTGGGGGGGGGAGGCTGAGCAGGCTGCTGGGAAGTGTGGGGAAGCTGGGCAGTGGCAGCAGGCAGAACAGTGCAGGCAAGGTGATCTCCCGGCGAGGCAGCCGCGACAATGAAGGGCCAGGGGAGGGTGCGGGCGGGGGCAGGGCTGATAATGGCACAGCAGGCGAGGAGGAGAGTGAGGAGGATGCGGAGGAGCGGGAGGAGGGGCGGTGGGTGGGGCGGCTGTTTGTGTCCCGGCGGGTGATCGGGCACGGGAGCCACGGGACGTTGGTGCTGGAGGGGCGGCTGGAGGGGCGACAGGTGGCGGTGAAGCGGCTCCTGTCTCAGTTCTATGAACGAGCAAGGCAGGAGATTGCGGCGCTGATTGCCACGGATGAGCACCCCAATGTGGTGCGGTGCTTTGCCATGGAGGAGGATGACTCGTTTGTGTATGTCGCGCTGGAGCGCTGCGCCTTCAACCTCACTGATCTCGTGCTTGCGTGCCGGGCTAGCCTCGCTGCCGCTATGGCACCACCAGCACCGGCTGCTGCTGCTGCTGCTGCTGGTGCTTCCTGTGCTGCTTCTGCTGCTGACGGTGCCGCTGGTGGTGCTGCTGCTGGTGATGCTGCAGGGCCTTTCTCTGTTTCCCCCGCCTCTGCCTCGTCCTCCTCCCACAAGCCTCCCACCAGTCCCTTCCAAACCTCCTCCTCCACCACCACCACCTCCTCCTCCGCCTCCTCCTCTCACTCCTCCTCCTCCTCGCTCCCTCTCTCCAACCCGCCTCTCCACCTCAAAACCCCCTCGCTCTCGCTCCGCCTCTCCCCATCCTCCTCAGCCGAGCGAGAAATCATAGCAGCAGCACTGGAGCGAGTACAGGCCTACTGCACCTCACAGGGCGTGGGGGTGCAGGGGCTGTGCCTGTGGGACGATAAAGGCCAGCCTACACAACAGCTGGTGGGGTTGCTAAGAGACGTGGCGAGTGGGCTGGCTTATCTGCATGATCAGCGGATTGTGCACCGGGACTTAAAGCCCCACAATGTGCTCATCTCGCTGCTGCTGCCCAGCCGGCATCGGCAGCGTGGGCAGTCACTGGGTAGGGTGAGTACAGGAGGGGTTAATGGGGGTAAGAGTGGGTTGGGGGCGGGTGAGGAGTTTGGGTCTCCTGCTGTGCTGTTGACATCAGGAGATGCAGCGGCAGGAGGGCCAGCAGCAGGATCAGCGTCAGGATTAGCAGCAACAGGAGGATCACTAACTTTATCTGCAGCAGCAGCAGCAACGCCAGACGCTGCAGCTTCCTCCCTCACAGCTACAGCTGCAGCCGCTGCAGCATCAGCCGCGTCCGCCTCTGCCGCAGCAGCAGCTCTGGCTCGGGCCATACCACTTCTGGAAGTCCGGATGCGGGGCAAGCTGTCAGACATGGGGATCAGCAAGAGGCTCGGCGACGGAGCAAGCTCGTTTGACACAATGACAGCAGGCTCGGGCAGCAGTGGGTGGCAGGCGCCGGAGCAACTAGAGGACGGGTCGCGACTGACGAAATCAGTAGACATGTTTTCGTTTGGGTGCCTGGTGTTCTTCTGTGTGAGCGGCGGCAGCCACCCGTTCGGAGAGTGGTTTGAGCGCGATGCGAACGTGCTGGCGGGGAGGGCGGACCTGTTCCCCATCGACCACGTGCCTGAAGCTCTTGATTTGGTTGCCGCGCTGCTTGACAGAGATCCTGAGAAGAGGTGCGTGATGGGAAGAACAGGTAGATTTAGTGTTTCCAAATGCTCGAAAAGCACCTAGTGCTGGCGGGGAGGGCGGACCTGTTCCCCATCGACCACGTGCCTGAAGCTCTTGATTTGGTTGCCGCGCTGCTTGACAGAGATCCTGAGAAGAGGTGCGTGATGGGAAGAACAGGTAGATTTAGTGTTTCCAAATGCTCGAAAAGCACCTAGTGCTGGCGGGGAGGGCGGACCTGTTCCCCATCGACCACGTGCCTGAAGCTCTTGATTTGGTTGCCGCGCTGCTTGACAGAGATCCTGAGAAGAGGTGCGTGATGGGAAGAACAGGTAGATTTAGTGTTTCCAAATGCTCGAAAAGCACCTAGTGCTGGCGGGGAGGGCGGACCTGTTCCCCATCGACCACGTGCCTGAGGCACTGGACCTCGTGGCTGCTCTGCTGGACAGGGATCCTGAGAAAAGGTGCGTGAAGGATAGAGTAGGAAGTAAAATTTTCTTCCCGATCGACTAAATAAGCACCCAGTCCTGGCGGGGAGGGCGGACCTGTTCCCCATCGACGATGTGCCTGAGGCACTAGACCTTGTTGCGGCTTTGCTTGACAGAGACCCTGAGAAGAGGTGCGTGAAGGGTGGAATGGTGAGGGAAGAATTCAAGGTTAGTGCTAGGGTGTGTCGCTTTCGACTTGCTGCGGGCCACACGTCACATCACCACCTGATACATCATCATTCTCTCCCACTCTTGCTCGCTCACACATCTGTTCTCCCAACCAACCCCTCCTCCCACCATCCATCACCAGGCCCTCAGCGTACGAGGTGCAGAGGCACCCGTTCTTCTGGCCGGCAGAGCAGCGGCTGGCCTTCCTGCGCGATGCCAGTGACCGCGTCGACGGGGACGACCGTGAGCTGCACTCGCCCCTCCTCAACGCCCTAGAGGCAGTGGCGCCCAGGGCCATCCCTTGAGGCGCCTCAACAACTTTTTCCCCACTCTCCCTTGCCCACTACCCACCCACCACAGGCCCCCAGCGCACGAGGTGCAGAGGCACCCGTTCTTCTGGCCAGCAGAGCAGCGGCTGGCGTTCCTACGAGACGCCAGCGACCGAGTGGAGGGGGAAGACCGAGAGCTGCACTCGCCGCTCCTCAACGCCCTTGAGGCAGTGGCGTCCAGAGCCATAGCTCGCAAGGGGGGGATTAGTAAAGCGCCTGGGGAGAAGGGTGGCGGGTGGAATGAGCGTGTGGACGGGGCGCTGCTGGGTAATCTGGGGAAATATAGGCGGTATAACTTTCACAGTGTGAGGGACCTGCTGCGGGTGATTCGGAACAAGTGCAATCATTACCGGGAACTGCCACCGGAGCTGCAGGTGAGGAGCGGAGAGAGTACGCATGCATGTTTTCCACTCCCGTGCGTGCGAATCAAGTTTTTCTTCTCATCGTCTTTGCTGTTGCATCTGGATTTTGCTGGGTGGTCAGCTGTGTCCTTCTATCGAGTATTCACTGTTCTGCTGTGTACCTTGCTGTTTATCTCTGTTTCCATACAGGAGCTTCTGGGTCCGCTTCCTGATGGATTTGAGAGGTACTTCCGAGATCGGTTCCCGCACCTCTTATTGGAGGTCTACCATGTGTTGCTGCAACACTGCGCCCACGACCCCATCTTCACAAAATACTTCTCTCCAATAATTCATTAATAAGATAATAAGACCCTACTGCAAGTTTAGCCCTAAGCCCCTAAACAAGGTTGGCTTCACCAAGTGAGATACTGCAGGCAAAGCTTATTGTTCGCACGTCAGCGAGCTATCTTATGGCGAATCACATCTTGATCTTCAGTCTATGATGCCACGTGTTTCGTTCTGGTCCGCAGTCATCCCCTTTCTTCTCCACAAATGTCCAAATTCACGGGAGAAAGTGGGTTCTTCGCATTTGGCGCTGGTTTGCTGTCGCAACCGATTTCGCAACGAATAGTGCCTCTCGCGAACCTTTCGTCCGTTCGTTCACTGTAACGTAGTAACTAGCTTTGCATGCATTGCTGATGTTCGTACCAATGAATTCTGTTCCAACATTTCTAGTTTCCGAAGTTACGATTCCCAACAGTTAGTGCTTCTTGAAATTGCCATGGCAGCAGTGCTCGCCTCGCCTCTCGCGTCTCGCATCGTTGCCATCAGCCGATCCCGCAGTCTATCCAGCGGTGCTACTGCATTCAACGGCGTGCGAAAACTGATCTTGTGAGCCTGCTTTTACTGCCTTTTACTGCCTTTCCCAGTAAGATCAGCTGGTTGTTACCCTTTTTTCAACTTCGCGAAACTGACGAGGTCATTATCCCCTCGTCTTGTTTGTTTTTTTCCAGGAGAAACTATAATTCGCCCGAGCGTGATAACCACGCCTCGACGTCTCTCCCTGTTGCTCGGCGGGCGTCTCGATCGCGCGTGGTCATGGCGTCAGCGTCAGCGACGGATGGGGGGTCAACGGCCGCAGCGGGCAGCGACGAGCTGGCGGAGTTCGTGTCGCGCGACAACCGTCGCATGCTGCACGTCGTCTACCGCGTTGGGAACCTGGACGCCGCTATCAAGTGCGTAGCTCAGTCGTTTACCGTCGCACGTGGTACCTCCCTATCGCCTCCCGCTCGCCTCCCCCTCGTCTCCTCTCACCTCCCTGGTCTTTGACTGGGTGCTGTGGTTGAGTTGCCCGTCTTCACACTGCGAGTCGTGACTAATCTCTGTCGGCCTGCAGGTTCTACACGGAGTGTCTGGGCATGAAGCTGCTGAGGCAGCGCGACATTCCCGAGGAGAAGTACTCCAACGCCTTCCTCGGCTACGGGCCCGAGACCTCCACGTTTGTCGTGGAGCTCACCTATAGTGAGTACCGAGGTCACCTGTAGTGAGTACCGAGGTCGCCTGTAGTGAGTAGCGAGGTCACCTATAGTGAGTACCGAGGTCACTAATAGTGAGTAACGAGGACACTTATAGTGAGTAGCGAGGTCACTTATAGTGCCCTGGCGTGTTATGGTATTGGGCTAAATGAATCTCTCCCCCCACTCCTCCCTTGCACTGCTGCCCTGCCCTGCCCTGCCCTGCCCATGGCCCTGTTGTGCGGCCAGACTACGGGGTGGACTCGTATGACATTGGAGCGGGCTTTGGGCACTTCGGCATCTCTGTTGATGATGTGAGCCACGCCATTTGTCACAACCAAACACTAAGCTGTACGACATCTCAGGTTTTGCCTGTACACTGGGGATGGCTGTCAGCCATGCAGCCAGTGCACTGAGCGGGCCAGGCCAAGCCATTGCATAAATGATTCTCTCCCAGAGTTGTTGAGAGCAGTGATTCAGAGGTTTACCTCTCCCCTGTGCAGGTGTACAAGACGGTGGAGGTGGTGAAGTCGCGCGGCGGCAAGGTGACTCGCGAGGCTGGCCCTGTGAAGGGCGGACAGAGCGTAATCGCATTCGTTGAGGTCCGTATCCTTTGCTGTGATGCTGTCATGGCATGGTGGCATGTTGGCGTGATGGCGTGATGCTATGCTGGCATGGTGTCATGGTGCTGTGATGGCATGTTGATGTAATGGCATGGTGATGTGATGGCATGGTGGCAGGCTACCATGCAATGTGTGGTGTGGCTGATGTGTCCTTTCGTCTCTATCCCCACCTCCCCTTCGGTGGATCTTCTTCATTGAGGATTCATTCAACCTTCTTTAGCCAACTCAAAAATCGCCTCATGCGCCATTCTTTCCTAATTCTTGCATTGCATCTCTTCAATCCTTTCCCTTGACGATTCATCGTCCCACACATGTGCCTACCTGCGCCCTTCCCACTGCCAACTTTTGAGGCGCCTCAAAAGTCCCACACATGTGCCTACCTGCGCCCTTCCCACTGCCAACTTTTGAGGCGCCTCAAAAGTCCCACACATGTGCCTACCTGCGCCCTTCCCACTGCCATCTGTTCCATTCCCCCCTCCTCTTCCTCCCCCACATCAATCTTCCGAGCCACAGGACCCGTCTGGGTACAAGTGGGAGATTATTCAGCGGCCACCTACTCCCGAGCCACTGTGTCAGGTTCGGATTCCCTGTCACGTGCTGCTCGTTTTTCTCAGTATGCTGCAACTCAGAAATTGTGGGGATCATCATGCTTTATGTGTGAGCTAGCCATTATGCTCCATGCCACCATGTCATCATGCCATCATGACTCCATGTCACCATGTCACCATGCTTCCACCTCACCATGCCGCCATGCCGCCATGGCTCCATCCCTCCATCTCACCACGTCACCATGGCACCATGCAGGTCATGCTGCGAGTGGGGGACCTGGACAGGGCAATTAAGTTTTATGAAAAGGTGCATACACCCACCTGCGCCTCCCATGCCATCCCTCCCATCGCATCCCTCCGTCCCATGCATGCTGTCACACACCCGGCTGCCACACAATCTCACGGCGTTCATGGTGCCAGGATAGTCAACCCCATGCTCAAATGCACGTGCTGCCATGCACGTGCTGCCATGCACCTGCTGCCATGCACCTGCTGCCATGCACCTCCCCCATTGAGCGACTGTTTGGCTTGTGACAGCTGCCTCATTCGCCTCTCCAGTCCCTTGCCACCCGTGGTTACACCTCCCTGGTTTATGTGCCTGCCTACCCATCAAACCTTCCGTGTTGTGCTCATAATCGCCGTCAATCCCTCCTCTGCCTCCGTGCTCATGAATCACGCCCATGCCTGCTTGCAGGCATATGGCATGAAGCTGCTGAGGACAAGGGACAACCCACAGTACAAGGTATCCACACCCCACAGTACAAGGTATCCACACCCCACAGTACAAGGTATCCACACCCCACAGTACAAGGTATCCACACCCCACAGTACAAGGTATCCACACCCCACAGTACAAGGTATCCACACCCCACAGTACAAGGTATCCACACCCCACAGTACAAGGTATCCACACCCCACAGTACAAGGTATCCACACCCCACAGTACAAGGTATCCACACCCCACAGTACAAGGTATCCACACCCCACAATACAAGGTATCCACACCCCACAGTACAAGGTATCCACACCCCACAGTACAAGGTATCCACACCCCACAGTACAAGGTATCCACACCCCACAGTACAAGGTATCCACACCCCACAGTACAAGGTATCCACACCCCATAGTACAAGGTATCCACACCCCACAGTACAAGGTATCCACACCCCACAGTACAAGGTATCCACACCCCACAGTACAAGGTATCCACACCCCACAATACAAGGTATCCACACCCCACAGTACAAGGTATCCACACCCCACAGTACAAGGTATCCACACCCCACAGTACAAGGTATCCACACCCCACAGTACAAGGTATCCACACCCCACAGTACAAGGTATCCACACCTCCCTCCTTTGCCGCTGCAACTGCACCTTGATTTTCAGGAAAGCCCCTGCTGCTGCACATTGGCTTCCCTCTGCTGCATCTGTGTTTTCACAACCCCTCCCCCACCACTCTCCTCCACCCTCCTCCACCACCCCTCCACCACCCCTCTGCTTACCTTGTTGCTGTGTCGACCTGCTGTGTTGACCCATTCCTTCGCTCCCATGCCCTCCCGTCCCCTCCCTTCCCTGACAGTACACGATAGCCATGGTGGGGTATGGGCCCGAGGCAGAGAGTGCAGTGGTGGAGCTCACATACAACTACGGCGTTGAGTCCTATGAAAAGGGCAATGCCTACGCACAGGTACTACCATGTGCTTACTCAAGTACTGCTGTGTTGCCTGAATGCTGTTTTCCAGGTGTTTCCTAGGTGGTTCTTTCTCCTGTTGTTGCGCCTTTGCACCTCTCCTGACATGCGTTTCAAATGCTTCCCTTATCCCTTTCCCCACTTGCTTTTGTATTCTATCGCTCTCCACAGTGACATCTCTCTCACTTGATTTGTGCCGTTGTCTTATCTACCGTAATCTCCATCCCCATTCATCCCTGCTCTGTGCTGCGATCCTGCTATCCTCCAGATCGCGATCGGAACAGACGATGTGTATAAGACAGCAGAGGTCATTCGGGCGGCGGGCGGCACTATTACTCGCGAGCCGGGCCCGATCCCTGGCATCAACACCAAAATCGTGGCTTGCCTTGGCCCTGATGGGTACAAAACGGTGAGGATGGGCAAATCGTTTGGGCCAACATGCAGCGTTGGTTTTGGGAGTTCGTCAACCGCTTACATTGCTATTTTGGCTGTTGTTACATTGCTTGCAGGTATTTGTCGACAATAAGGACTTCCTTCGTGAGCTAGAATGAAATCAGCAGTGATGCCGGCATTGCTGCCATATGCAGCAAAGCCTAGAAAACACACATGTGTATAATGTTAGATGAGTGGAATATGTTGCTCCAATAGCTCTTTCAGATTGTTGCTTTGGTGAATGGGAGAACAATCCCAGCATTCGTCAGTTACATGAGGGATTTTCGCATTCAATGCAAGCGTGAAGCGCGGGTTACCATTCGCAAATGTCTCGGCCTCTATTTCCCCCATTCTGCGCAATCCCCCCCGTTTCCCTCGGGAAATGTCGCTAGCTGGAATGGACAGGTTTCATCAGGGCGCCTTCAAGCACTCATCATGCCTCGTATCGCGCCACGTCGCCACTGCCTGCCACCCGAATCACCAACCGGTACGGCGAAAGAGGAGGAAAGCAACGACGAAGCACACGATCTGCTCTCGTGGCCCCGGTGACAAACTATGGAGGGAGAATTCGAACGCCCCGAGGTGGGACTCGCCGACAGCCGTCTGCGCGACGGCATGGTGGCAGCACGGCTAGCGCGAGACGCAAAACCGGGGAGCGCACAACACAGGCCTAGCCTCGCCTTATTCTGGTACACCGACGCTTCGATTCTTCGCTAGTTCGAGGAATAGGAAATGGCAGAGCAAGGAGGACGAAGCGGCGGGAGGGGGGGTGGGGGAGGCGGCGGAGAGGGAAAGGCGCATGACCGGAGGGAAGATGCGGAGGCAGAGGCGGATCCCGAAGCGTGCGAGCGGCCGTTCGAGCAGCGGCCGTCGTGGCTGCACCGGCGCGGCAAGGGCGAGTGGAACTCGGGGCTAAAGGACTTTCCTCGGGATCCCCGCGCCGCCGTCCTCGGGTGCTGCGCGCCGTGCTACCTCTTCGCGCAGACCGCGCGCAAGATCACCGACGGGCGCGTGCAGTTCTCGAGGCGAGTCGCCTCCTCCTCTTCCGAGCTAGACGGCCCCCTGAATATCGTTTTCTGGCTTGGCTGTTGAATGCCCTGAATGGCCTCACCGCCCCACACCGCCCATCACCACCCATCATCATCTCCCTTCACCTCCCTCGCCTCCCCGTCCGCAGGGCCTTTGCGACCTACTGCCTGGTGGGCGGGTGCTGGGGCGTGCCTCTCTCGTTCATCCTCGGCCCCTTCGCCTACTGGTTCACGTGTGTGCCGTGCTACGCGGAGTCTATACGCCGCCAGCTGCGCCACTCGAAGGGGCTGCACGAACGACCCATGGATGACTTTGCCGCCCACTGCTGCTGCCACCCGTGCGCGCTTTGTCAGGTGCTACCATCCGTACGTGCTTTGTCAGGTAGTGCTGCTACGATCCGTACGTGCTTTGTCAGGTAGTGCTGCTACCATCCGTACGTGCTTTGTCAGGTAGTGCTGCTACGATCCGTACGTGCTTTGTCAGGTAGTGCTGCTGCTGCTGCTGCCGCTGTGGCTCTTGGAGGTTTATCCAGCACATGCAGGAGTACATGGAGACCCGAGAGTTTGACTTGGAGCTGGTGGCGGGGCCATCGCACCCCACTGTGCCCGTATTCTCATGTGCCCTCATCTTCAATCCATGTGTGCATGTCACACCCACCCCCAACCATGATGCCCATGCAGGAATACAGGGAGAGACGCGAGTTTGACTTGGAGTTAGTGGCAGGGCCCAGACACCCATGTGCCATGTACTTGTGTCCCTACACACTTCAATGCCCTCATGACCACCAACCATGATGCCCACGCAGGAGTACAGGGAGACCCGTGAGTTTGACTTGGAGCTGGTGGCAGGGCCAACACACCCCACTGTGGACCGACCACCATCGGAAACTGCCAGGCATCTGGAGCACCTGCAGGAGACACAGCAGATGGGGCGGTGATGCGCATTGGGTGCAGAGCAAATGGTACCAGCTTTTGGGGACAAGAGTTGACTCTACAAGAATGACGGATACCAGCAGATACCACAAACACCGCAGGTTCAGCAGGATACGGATGGAGTCAAAGCCAGTGATTCTTAGTCGAGTGAAAAGTACCGTAACTGGAAGATGTAGCAAATTTCAGAGACTCAGCAGGAGGATACCTGACAGCATTTTCCAATAAGGTCAATGACCAGGCTTGTACAGACTCCGAAATGGAGTGCAAGACTCACTGCAAATGATCTAGCTCTATTAATTTCTTCAGGCTGAGATTGAGCTTGCGGCACCTATCTCGCGTTGAGCTGTCACCCGAAACATGTTAATGTGAAAAGCTGGCAGCTGAATGTGCTGCACATGCAAAAGCTCTGCACCTTGTCCAAGGTTTTGAGAGCTAATGACATTTTTCCTAGACTTACTATGCCACACCAGTGTGACAATAATGAATACAATAGCTCTGGACTGGTTGTTGCTGGAATGACAATCACCATAATCATACGCTATCTACATCTCCTCGATCAGCTGCTTGATGGACGCAATGGGTAGCAAGCCCTCGGTGCGGACGGCAAGCTTTGACTTATCCTTGCTCACAAACACCACTGTGGGTAGCCCACGGATCTGGATATGGCGAGGGATGGTGTGGAAGGATCAGGCATGGGAGGGAGGGAAAGCATGCGCGATGGGGAGGGTTGAGGGTTTGCGGTTGGAGTGAGATGTGAGGGGAGGTATGTAGAGAGCATAGGAGGGGTGTGAATGTACTTGAGCGAGCATGTGTTTTGAGGGAGTGAGCGTTCGATTACGCAAATGTGTGCGAACGTGCGAGCGAGTGTAAGTGCGAGGGCATGGGCACAGGCCTCGAGCTGATTGGCAAGCTCATACTCCTCGTCCGTGTGGGCACGCGTAGGAGGTGCGTATGTGAGCGTGCGTGTGAGTGAGGGAGCGAGCAAGTGTGAGTGCGAGGGCATGTGTCGGCTCGGCACAGGCACGCACCTCGAGCTGGTTGGCGAGCTCGTACTCCTCGTCCGTGTCCACCTTGAGAAACAGCACCTCGCCATGGTACTCCACTGCTAGCTGCACAAGGAGAACGGCGGCAGCGCATCATGGGGGCACGGCGGCATGGGGGCATGGCGGCATGGGGGCATGGCGGCATGGGAGTATGGGAGTATGGGGACATGGAAGCATGGGAGCGTGAGAACAAGGGGTATGGGAGCATGGGGGCATGAGGGGTATGAGGGCATGGAGGCATGAGGGGCATGAGGGCATGGAGGCATGAGGGGAATGGGAGTATGGGGGGATAGGGGTATTATGGGTATGGGGAACATGAATTGAGTCAAACGGCGCACCTGTTCGAGTTCCTGTCCGAGGAGAATGCAGGGGCCGCACCACGTGGCGTGGAAGTCGGCAAGTGAGTCAACTCAAAGAGCGGCACTACTATTCTTGAGGTGCGTCACTAGAAACTGACCTGCTCCAGCTCCTGTGCGAGGAGGATGCAGGGGCCGCACCACGTGGCGTAGAAGTCGATCACCATGGGCAGCGGCCGATCGCCCGACAGCAACGCGTCCAGCTCCTTCCCGTTCACCTTGCGCTGCCCGCGGGACGGTGGGGGGGGAGGGGGAGAGGGGGAGGAGAGGGACGGGGGACTGGGGACAAGAATTGAGGCGATTATAATGTATTGACTTTTGAGTCGACTCAAAAGTCAACTCGGCGATTATAATGTATTCTTCAGTACTCGTCTCCGGTTATATCTATCCTTGTTTTTTTTCCGTATTGTTTTTTTTTTTTCGTTTGTCATTAATAAAGGATATGGCCATGGATCCAGCATGCCGTCATACCACGAGGTTGCATTGAACGGAGAACGCTGATTGGCTGCTCGACCCCGCTCTCGCCAATTTGCCCCTGAAGCTGTCCGATCGCAGACCCCGAATGCCGCGTGCGCGAAGCGGATGCGACAGCGCTGCCGTCGCATGTTGTCGCACGTGAGCTGAATCGCGCGATACAGTCCCAGCGGCGCGTGAAGTCGCGAGGCCGCTGATCGCGGGAGTTACGGCAACAGCCGACGCCATGGAATGTCACGACTACTTTCAGCTGTCACAAGGTCTAGGGGCGAGCGGCTCAGGCCACTATGGAACGCGGTGCGGAAGAAAAGCAAACGGAATTGATCACGGCGGGGCGAGGACAATAACGAGGAGACGTTTTTTCACGACGCGAGTAACGGCGGCAGACAGCGAAACAGCTGCACCGCCGAGCTGAAGGAAGCGGGATGAGTGATAAAACAAGGAAGGGCGGATCGGAGCTGAGGAGAAGAAGAGTGAAATGTTTCTCGAGCTTGTATGGACTGGTGGGGTAGGTTGACGGCAGCATTGTAGCGAAGGCCGCGTAGATATTTGCGGGCGCCACGTAAAGCACGCAGGAAACGTGGAGATCCCCGAGGTTCCATCATCTTTCCGAGACGCTGGGCATCGCATTGCACAGAGAAAGTGCTAACTTGTACTAAACAATTGAACATAGGCATAGGCTAATGCATTTAGACAATGTAAGCTGAATTTGGATGCTCTGTTCTTGATTGCAGAGGCATTTTCTTCACAACCTACTGTCAATTATATCAATTAGAGGAAACATATTATACAGCATGCCTGCTAAAATCAACCTTTTCTCGTGTGGCTATTGATAGCCTTTGTCAATTAGATGCCGTTCAATCGCTTGCTGAGCCAGCTCTCTGAACTTCTCATCGCCCGGGCACTCCCTGCAGCACATTGCAGAACGCATATGGATGGCAGTGAGTTTGCTTGCATGGCAGTGAGTTTGCATGGCAGTGAGTTTGCATGGCAGTGAGTTTGCATGGCAGTGAGTTTGCATGGCAGTGAGTTTGCATGGCAGTGAGTTTGCATGGCAGTGAGTTTGCATGGTAGTAAGTTTGCATGGTAGTGGGTTTGCATGCAAGAGCGACATTGCATGGGGCCCCATACCCATCCGCAGCCTCCCACTGCCCCACCAACCATGCCTACCGGTTGAGGTCAAAGGACTCGCGGGCGCGCTCCATGCTGGTGTCCGCCACCTGCTGCAGCTGCCATCCCACTTCCCATCCCCATCTTCATCCCCAGCATCCAACATCCCCACCACCACTGCACTCACCGGTTGAGGTCAAAGGACTCGCGGGCACGCTCCATGCTGGTATCGGCCACCTGCTGCAGCTGCCGTGATGTGAAGTGGTAGCGCGCCGCCACCTCCTTGAGGAACGATATGTCCATCAGGAACTGGAGGGGTAATAAGGGGGGAGTGGGGGGACAGTGGTGAGGATGGGCCGAGGCATGAAGTGGTAGCGTGCCGCCACCTCCTTGAGGAATGAGATGTCCATCAGGAACTGCAGTGGGAGAGGGGGAGGGGCGGGGGAGAGAGGAGAAGGGAGCAGTGGCGATGGGAGCAACGCCAGCCCGTACTGTGTGAGCTTCGGCCTTTAGGTATCCCAACCACGCACCTGCTGCATCTCCCACACCCACCTGCTGCATCGCCCACACCCACCTGCTGCAGCCCAAACACCCACCTGCTGCAGCCCGGTAGGCCCGACAAAGTTGTGGCTGTCCTCCCAGGCCTTGTCGTGGCAGATGAGTGTGAGCAGCGCCAGCCCGTACTGCGTGAGCAGCTGCAGCACCAGGCGGTCGCGCCCCGCCAGCATCTCCGATGCCGCATCCGATACCGTCAGCGTCATGAACAGAAAGTTCTGCACGCACGTGGGAGCACGAGGAGAGGAGTGCACAGGGAACAGCACGTGGGGAGGCGTATGGTAAGGCAGGCATATGAAAAGGCATGGGAGAGGGCTTCTGAGGCGCCTCAAACGTCGCGCCCCGCCAGTACCTCCGATGCCACATTGGATATGGTGAAGCGTGGTGAAGAGAAAGGTCTGCCGGCATGTGAGCATGAGGAATGCACAGGAAACAACGTTTAAGGTGCCTTAGAAGTAAATAGGATATGGTGAGCGTGGTGTACGGGAAAGTTCTTTTGAGACGTCTCAAAAGTAAATAGGATATGGTGAGCGTGGTGTACGGGAAAGTTCTTTTGAGACGTCTCAGAAGTAAATAGGATATGGTGAGCGTGGTGTAAGGGAAAGTTCTGCACATGCATGTGAGCGGCCAAGTGAGAAGATATGTGAGAGGGCATGTGCGAGGGCATGTGAGAAGACATGTGAGAGGGCATGTGAGAGGGCATGTGCGAGGGCATGTGAGAAGACATGTGAGAGGGCATGTGAGAGGGCATGTGAGAGGGCATGTGAGAGGGCATGTGAGAGGGCATGTGAGAGGGCATGTGAGAGGGCATGTGAGAGGGCATGTGAGAGGGCATGTGAGAGGGCATGTGAGAGGGCATGTGAGAGGGCATGTGAGAGGGCATGTAAGAGGGCATGTGAGAGGGCATGTGAGAGGGCATGTGAGAGGGCATGTGAGAAAGCATTTGCAGGGAGCTGACCTTGAGAGCCTCGGATGGCTGGGCATCATTGAACCAGAGCGAGGGATCAGACTCCACCTGATGGCGCAGCGGTGCCCAGTGGGGTTCACACCATGGGGAGGGGAAATGGGATAGGAAGCACGGGTGGAGAAGACTTTTGATTCGACTCAAGAGCTGACCTTGAGGGCCTCGGATGGCTGCGCATCATTGAACCAGAGCGAGGGATCTGACTCCACCTGATGGCACGGCGGTGCCCAGTGGGGTTCACACCATGGGGAGGGGAAATGGGATAGGAAGCACGGGTGGAGGAGGAAACACGAGGAACACATGAGAGAAACAACATATACAACATGGACAAGGAACTTCCTTTTGATATAATCACTATCACTCCCGATCACCTTTGCACCCCACCCTCACTCCCAACCCAACCACCCTCGCACACTCATTCGCAGTCACCCTCTCTCCCAGTCACCCCCACATGGAACGCCCACCTGGTCCATGAGGAAGTAGAGGTGGGGCAGCAGCGCGTCATCCATGCACGCATCGGGATACAGCAGCTCCGTGGCCTTCTGCATGCAGAACCCCATTTTCAGATCCTCCACGCCCTCACTCAGCTGCTTCTTCCACGCCAGCAGCTGCTGCCGCTTCGCCTCCCCGCCCGAGCTCCTTCGCTGCTCCCGGCTCGCCCGCTGCCCCGCCACCGGCTGCGTCAGCCGCACTGCCAGCCTCGGGAGCTCCTCTGCTAGAGTAACCGCGTTGGCAATCAGAGCCAGCTGCTGCCGGTCCGTCACTGCCTTGTTCACGATTCCTGCCGCCCCTGCGCCGCCTCCCTCCCCCTCCGCGCCTTCCCCGGGGCCCCCGGCTTGGCTGGTGGAGGCGGAAAAGGCGGCGGAGGCGGAGGCGTCCCAATCAGAGGAGGAGTCTTCAGGGGTGCGGGCGCGGTTGAGCATGGCCGTGTACTGGGAGTAAAGGTGTGCTAGCCCGTCCAGGGTTGGTGTGGTGAGCTGCAGATTCACTATCGGCACCACGTCCTCTAGAAAGTCCTGCGCATAAAGAGTGACGGGTTGTGGGTGAATGGGAGGCGCGAGGAGAGAGAGAAAAAAAGGGAACGGGGCAGGGGATGTCGGGAGGGCGTGGTGAGATGCAGGTTCACTATCGGCACCACGTCCTCTAGAAAGTCCTGCAAACAGAGAGGAGGTGTGGGAAGAAAGGGGTACGGGAGAAGGAGGGAGAGCGGCACAGGCCGAGGAAAGAGGACAGATGGGGCAAGAAGGGTGGTGAGCTGCAGCCTGCAGGTTCACTATCGGCACCACGTCCTCTAGAAATGACTTTTGAGTCGACTCAAAAGGTTCACTATCGGCACCACGTCCTCTAGAAATGACTTTTGAGTCGACTCAAAAGGTTCACTATCGGCACCACGTCCTCTAGAAATGACTTTTGAGTTGACTCAAAAGGTTCACTATCGGCACCACGTCCTCTAGAAATGACTTTTGAGTCGACTCAAAAGGTTCACTATCGGCACCACGTCCTCTAGAAATGACTTTTGAGTCGACTCAAAAGGTTCACTATCGGCACCACGTCCTCTAGAAATGACTTTTGAGTTGACTCAAAAGGTTCACTATCGGCACCACGTCCTCTAGAAATGACTTTTGAGTCGACTCAAAAGGTTCACTATCGGCACCACGTCCTCTAGAAATGACTTTTGAGTCGACTCAAAAGGTTCACTATCGGCACCACGTCCTCTAGAAATGACTTTTGAGTCGACTCAAAAGGTTCACTATCGGCACCACGTCCTCTAGAAATGACTTTTGAGTCGACTCAAAAGTCACCTTGAGTCGACTCAAAAGGTTCACTATCGGCACAACGTCCTCTAGAAATGACTTTTGATTCGACTCAAAAGTCACCTTGAGTCGACTCAAAAGGTTCACTATCGGCACCACGTCCTCTAGAAATGACTTTTGAGTCGACTCATAAGTCACCTTGAGTCGACTCAAAAGGTTCACTATCGGCACAACGTCCTCTAGAAATGACTTTTGAGTCGACTCAAAAGTCACCTTGAGTCGACTCAAAAGGTTCACTATCGGCACCACGTCCTCTAGAAATGACTTTTGAGTCGACTCAAAAGGTTCACTATCGGCACAACGTCCTCTAGAAATGACTTTTGAGTCGACTCAAAAGTCACCTTGAGTCGACTCAAAAGGTTCACTATCGGCACCACGTCCTCTAGAAATGACTTTTGAGTCGACTCAAAAGTCACCTTGAGTCGACTCAAAAGGTTCACTATCGGCACAACGTCCTCTAGAAATGACTTTTGAGTCGACTCAAAAGTCACCTTGAGTCGACTCAAAAGGTTCACTATCGGCACCACGTCCTCTAGAAATGACTTTTGAGTCGACTCAAAAGTCACCTTGAGTCGACTCAAAAGGTTCACTATCGGCACCACGTCCTCTAGAAATCCGTGTGCTCAGTGAGGGGATGTGGGGAGAGGGGTAAGGAGGAGCGAGAGTGAGGAACGGGGAGGGAGGGAAGCGGGAGGCAGGAGGATGGAGAGCGAGGGAGGGCGAAGACTGAGGAAATAAGGAAAAAGGGTAGTTCAGAGGACACACGTGCACCATAGAGTAGAGCCAGTACGGAGGCACAACACACCTGCACCATGGAATAGAGCCGGTACGCGCTGCTGGTAAGCTGGAAATTCGCAACCGGAGCATCCGCCAGCATCCGAGCAGCAGCGCTGCGCGGCGCAGACGGCACGGGCAGCAGCGACTAGTCGTCCCCCGCAGCCATGGCCTGCACGCTCTCCTCTATCCGCCTTATGTTCGCCTCCAGCGCAAGCTCCACATTGGGGCGCACGAGGCGCATGAGCACGGCCGCCATGGCCAGCCCATGATCCTCCAGCAGCGAACAATGCCCCACCGCGATTTGCACGCACTCAGCGGCCAATCGCAGCCCGCCAGCTGCCGCAGCCGACGTCAGCACGTACTGTTGCAGCAGGTCCCCGCACCATTCTGTCTGCCCGTGCGCCCAGAGCACCAGCTCTGACGCGCATGAGGGCGTGTCGCCGAAAACCGCCTTGGAGTCCTGAGCTGCTGCCAGGATCGTGGAGAATACCAGCCGTGAGATCTTGGCCGTGTAAGCTGCACCGTAGGATACGCCCCCCGGGCGCAGCGGCTGCACGGCAGCCTGCACCTGCGCGCCGTGGCATGCCAGCATCAGCGTGTGCGCGCGCTTCGGGTCGCCGAGCCTCGCCAGCGCAGCCACGGCGTGCCGAAGCTCTGCTCGCCGAACCGACGGCTGCAGGGTGATCCGCGCCAGCAGGTCAACCAGCTCGGCGCGCTTCTCAGCAAGGCTCGTATCTAGGGTCTCCAGGGAGTCTTTATTCACTGCTGGCCGCTGCCCCACGCGGCACATCACCACAGCATCTTCCCCTTTCGCCAGCAGATCAAGAGCCTCGTCTATCCGCCTCTCTGCCAGGCACACAGCCATTTTGTCCGGGATTTGCAGCAGATTGGCCTCCTGCGAGGAAGCTTCCTTGTCGTCCTCGTAGACGGAGCGGTCGGGGTCGGCGAGGTGTGATTGGACGATGGGCGAGCGGTCGGAGAGGGAGTGGATGAGCGTGGACTGTGCGGTGAGCAGCGAGCGCACGTTGCGCAGCTCGCCCTCCAGCTCCGATATCTCCTTTGCCGTGCTGCGGAGGTGGTTCAAAGAGGTAGCGCGGAGTGGAGAGGAATGGAGTGGAGTGGAGTGGAGAGGGGTGGAGTGGAGTGGAGTGGAGAGGAGAGGAGAGGGGTGGAGAGGAGTGGAGAGGGGTGGAGAGGAGTGGAGAGGAGTGGAGAGGAGCGGAGTGGAGAGGCGGGTAGGGCGCGTAAGGTGGGATGGAAGTGGAAAGAAAGAGGAACAGAAAACGACGTGAGCAAATTGTTATACTGTGCGTTGCATTTGACATGACATTTTTCGCATGCTGCATAGCGACATAATGACAGGGACAGGGACGGGCTTACAGGATGAAGGAGAGGGATGGCCTTACCGGATGAAGGACTTGTAGTTGGCGTACACGCTCTTGCGCATCTCCTCCGCGGATGCGCGCTTGAAGTCCACCAGTTCCGCGCACAGCTTCCGCAATGACTGCGAATCAGATTGTGACGTGAGTTAAACGAGTGAGCTAGACACGCGAGTGAGATATGTGAGTCAAATGCGTGACTCAGGAATGGGATTGCGCTAATGGCTTCGTCTTTCGCGTGCGACGCACCTTTTCGCTCACGGCTTCGCATTTCGTGAGCGACGCACCTTTTCGCTCATGGCCTTGCATTTCGCCTGCATGAACTGGTCCGCGTTGAACGACTCCGACTCCAGGTGCTTGATCTCCTGCCCGATCATCGAGTCCTCGCCCAGCCCGTACTTCGCCGGCTTTCCCTTAGGCGTGGGAGGCGGAATCGCGGGGTTGGCTCTAAGGGCGCCATAAGCGGCTACTTGGCTGGACTTGGAGTGTGGATCTATGGACTGGCGCCGGGAGAACTGCCGGCTGCTTGCCGTGCTCGTGCTCATCGTGGTTGCTAAGATACGATATCTAGGCTGAGTATCTCAAGCGGACAGGGTCACTAGGAATATCAGAACAATATAGAAAACAAGTAAGCATTTACTGTCACGGAGGTCCTAGGCGACTGGTACAGTGTAAAAAGGATATGAATGTCCCCATTGTTTGGTCAATGTCGACTGCTAATCCAGAGGAACCCTGGGCTATTTACGAGAATCTTAAAGGCCTAAAACCTGTTGGACTCTACGACGGCTAAGGACGACCTAAGTCCGCTCCTAACACTAAAAGGTAGGTGGATAACTAACGGTCACCTCACTGGCATCAGCGAAAGAGTGGACTGCATGGCACGGCATGCTAAAGCTCTAGGCCTGGCCGGCGGCAGAATCAATGTTATTCTGATGAACCAAACGGACAAAACTGGATTCCCTAGTCCGAGTCCGAGTCTGAGTAATGTTGTTTCAAGATCTGCACACGTTATCGCTCAAAATCCTACGAAACCGTTCAAAAAAGAGAACTGCTGCTGTTCGTCCTTGTAAGAACACTCGGGACAACAACGAGAGCATTATTGGAGTGTTGAAATGGTTGCCTGTAGATAAATTTCCCTCAATGTTGATATTGCAATTGAATTATATTGAAACGGTATAAAATTGCATAATTTAGAGTTTTTTGAAAGATAAAACCATTTTCAGATGTAATTATGTAATAATTCTGTATGTGATATAAGGAGTTAATTACAGTTCAATCACTAGCTGATAATTTTTTATGTTGGCCATAAGTATGTGGAAGTGTAGCAGAGCAACGACTTCCAGCATTGGAAGTGATGTTGCCTTGCAGCAACACATACAGCCCGAAACATCTGGGTCGAGCGTGCAAGACATGGTCCGAAGCCATAAAGCTACTCCACGTAGAGATTAACCAGTGTTCATCCTCGCCGATGACCTCAAACCAGCGGACTAGATTCGATCAACAAACCGCCAGGCTCTTTCATTGGTCAGTCCTGCTCTTGTTTAAAGGGCAGGTCACTTGTCATCCAATTAACGGTCGCCCGACTGGGCATCAACATAACGGGCCACAGTTGCGGCCAACTCCAGCTGGCCTGGCCTCTCTCCCCCATTTCCCACCAACCATTCTTAGGATCATGCTCCTCGTTCACCAATCTGCACCGTACTCAACCCGGCTAAGCCCTTCCATCGTTCCATTTCCACATCGTCTTCCCCATCCACCCTCAACTACAAGCAGCTGGCTGTTCGTCCATGGAGGTTCTTTCCAACGCCCTTGCGTGAAGGGCTTTAGCTCTCTCATCTCTCTCGCTCTCTCACGAGCATAGTTGTTGCTCGTTTCTGACAAGTTCAGCCTTCGCGGCCGGACTCGAGCTTTCACCTTTCTTCCTCAGCGGCTTGCCGCTGTTGTAAGTCCAGCCCTCGCGGCAGGACTTGATACTGCTGCTCCTGAACGCGCTGCTTCGCTGTCAGGAAACAGTGTCAACATCAGGACAGTGCCAGTTCTTGCACCGTATTAAGTCATCAATACATTTCTGAAGTCTTGCCGTTTTCCGGTCCAAATTTTCGTCGAAAGCTATGCCTGGAGTGTCTTCCAAAGTCAAGGGCGCCACGGCCATGGCCGCGGATGAGCAGCAGGTGGCGACTCCCATCAGCGCCAAGAAATCCAAAGCCCTCGCGGCTGACGAGAATGAAGCTGCGCCGTCCGATCCAGTCTCCGCGAAGAAATCCAAGAAGAAAGCCAAGGACGGCGATACGCCTGTGAAGCGGAAGCGCGATTCAACGTCGTCAGCCGAATCGGCGGGGGAGGAAGTTACGCCGAAGAAGAAGTCGAAGAAGGCATCCGAAGAATCTGCGGAGGAAGGTTCGGCGAAGAAGTCCAAGAAGAAGCAGAAGAAGTTGAAAGAATCAGAGGCTCCAGCGGAGGAATCGGAGAAGGAGGATTCTGACGGATCTGCCGACGCGTCAACGTCTTCTGACGAAGCTAACGGAGCTGGAACGGAGACCGCGGGCGAGATTGACGGCTCATCGGACGGTCCGGAGGAGCCAGCGGCGGCGGATGAGGAGGATCGCGAGGACGACCCGAACAGCATCGACAACTTCCGTTTGTCGCCAGCCGTGAAGGCGGCGCTGCGTCGCAAGTCTATCGAGTCGCTCTTCCCCATCCAGGTGCAGACGTTCGACCTCGCCATGGACGGCATCGATATCATCGCGCGCGCGCGCACCGGGCAGGGCAAGACGCTCGCGTTCGTGCTGCCGATCGTGGAGCGCCTGAAGATCCTCAAGGAGAGCGGCGGCAAGGGCGCCGGCGCCGGGTTCGCGAGCCGCAGCAAGCTGCCGAGCGTGATCGTGCTGGCGCCGACGCGCGAGCTGGCGAAGCAGGTCGGCGACGACTTCGAGTACATCGGCCGCGCCGCGGGAATGTCGGTCGTGTGCGTGTACGGCGGCGCGCCCATGGGCCCACAGGAGCGCGCACTCTTCCGCGGTGTCGATATCGTCGTCGGCACGCCCGGCCGTATCAAGGTAGCTTTCAACCCCAAACCCTTGAACCCCGTAAACCCGCCCCCCCCCTCCCCCCCTCCCCTCCTCACCCTCTTTCTTCCCTCCCCCCTTCCCTGTTGCACCAAGAATTATACAAAACCCGGAAGCGTCTCTGTCTCTGCAGTCTTAATTGTTCTCCGCTCTTTTCTTATCTATCCGTCTCTTCCGAATGGTCCTTTCTTTTTTCCCTTGCGTCCTCCCTCCTAAGTCCTCTCCGGCTTTCCCAATGCTGCCCTTTACCCCTCTCCCCGGATACAGGATCTGCTGCAGCGCGGGTCGTTGAAGCTGAACGAGGTGCGCTTCCGCGTGTTGGACGAGGCGGACGAGATGCTCGACATGGGCTTTGTCGACGACGTCGAGACCATTCTCAGTGAGTGTGCACCGCCCGCAAATGGACTGCGCGAGGGAATTGTGCGAGTAGGCCGCGCCGTTTCTCTCCGTTTGCGATGCAAACACTAACACCTTTCTTTTCTTTTTTTCTTTCCAATTTGATTTCGTGTGTGCGCGCGGCGCAGAGTCGGTGGATGACCAGTCCAAGGTGCAGACGCTGCTCTTCAGCGCCACCGTGCCCGAGTGGGTCAACAAGGTCAGTCACCCGCTCGCCTCTCGCCGCTCGCCGCTCGCCATTCGCCGCTCGTTGATCTTTTGCCTCCCGCGCCCGACTTCTCCTGCCTTCGTTCTTCTGCGTGCCTTCGCCCCACGCTCTACGCGCGCCTACCAATACCGCGTTCTTCCGGGAGGACAAGCGCATTTGCGCGATACTTACACTAAACCTGCCTTTCCCTTCCCCCGCCCGCGCGTTGCCCCACCCCACCCCACCTCACTCCACCGCACTCCACCACACTGCACTAGATATCGAAGCGGTTCTTCCGCGAGGACAAGCGTGTGGTGGACCTGGTGGGCGGCGAGAGGCAGAAGGCGAGCACCAACGTGCGCCACCTGCTCATGCCCTGCCACACCAAACAACGCTTCCAACTTGTCGCTGACGTCATCGCCACCTACAGCCTGTCAGTTGCTCACCCCCTCCGTTCCCCTCCCCCCCTCTCCCACCCCCAACCCCCCCTCCTCCCCCCATTCCCCGCCTCCCCGTTTTCGCTGCTTGCATTACTCGTTTACTCAACACTACTTTTTTGCATGTGTAAATGCCCGCCTCTTCCGCGTCCCTTCGACATTACGCTCATCCTCCTCCTCCCTCATCTCCCCCTTCCCGCTCTCCCCCGCCCCCACCGCCCCCGTTTCCGCGCACCACGGGCAGCGGCGGGAAGGTGATTCTGTTTGTGGACACCAAGAGCGCGGCGTCGGAGTTCGCGCAGAACTTGGCGCACCTGGGGGCGCGCGCGCTGCACGGCGACGTGGTGCAGCAGCAACGCGAGGTGAGTCAGCAGCAGCGCGAGGTGACTGACTTGGCAGCAGCACCACCAGCTATGCCACGTGTGCTCCATTCAATGGGGTTGGTGGCTTGACATGCTCGTCCTCCCTCTCCCACCACCCGCCCCTCTCACATGCCCCTCTCCTCTCATCGCTGGCCCTCCCACACCCCCCTGCTAAATCAACAGATGGTGCTCCCAGCGTTCAAAGCCGGCTCCTTCCAGGTGCTGGTAGCAACGGACGTGGTGGCGAGGGGGCTGGACGTCAGCGACATGCACCTTGTGCTGCCTCTCCGACCACCCGCCCCTCTCACATGCCCTGTCCCCTCCCCGTTTTTCCTCCCACAGGTGGTGCTAAAAGCGTTCAAAGCCGGCTCGTTTCAGGTGCTGGTAGCAACGGACGTGGCGGCGAGGGGGCTGGACATCAGCGACGTGCAGCTCGTGCTGCAGGCGCAGGTCCCCCGCACCGTCGAGACCTATATCCATCGGTCCGGCCGAACCGGCCGCGCAGGTACGGATGTAGCCTCGGTAGAGTGGTGGCAATGGAAGTGCAGGGTACTACCCTGAGGGTAGGGGGGTAGTGGTGCTGTGCTGCTGCAGGCAGGCGTGGTAATTTCGCCACCCCCGATTCCTCAGATATCTTCACTTCTCTCTTTCACTCTCCAGTTTCTTTCACGAAAGCCCTGCCTCGTCCGTGCCTCTCCCTCACCTGTTCCTCCACTCACCCCCCCACCCACCCTCTCTGTGTTTGCCACTGCCTTCCCCCCAACCCCCCAAATCAGGCAACACGGGAGTGTCAGTGTTGGTGGCGGACAGGTGGGCGGGGCGGATAGTGGCGCAGATAGAGCACACGGCGGGGGTGAAGTTCGAGCGCGTCAGCCCGCCACAGCCCGCTGACCTCGTTAGAGTCGCCTCCGCTGCAGTCACGGCCAAAGTCAAGGCCGTTGGAGACAGGTACGGGTAACGAGCGCACATTATTGACGAAAAGGGATTTCTGAGAAGTTTGCGAAATTTGACAATCATCCTACAACAAGAGTGGGCGAGAGAGAGGAAGCGGAGGGCTTTACAGCGAAGGGTTTTTAGGGATTAGGGGATATGGAGGGGGTGGGCTTGGGGAATGGTGCCCCTGCAGGCTGGTCTCGTTACAGTGACGCCCAGGCAAATTGCCTGGGGAAACCCACACTACCAATGAGTAATCGCCCAGTGCCTGTTCACGGCGGTGTGGTGCCACTCTTTGAGGGCTCCGCCCAGTAGCTCATCGGCTCCGCTGGCCTCTCGCCCCTTGCTGCACTCGTGCATTGTAGTTTGAGTCAGTCAACTCATAGCACTCCCCACAACACCCTGTCACCCTCCCTCCCCTCATAACCAACAGTGTGGTGCCGCTCTTTGAGAGCTCTGCTCAGGAGCTCATCGACTCCACTGGCCTCTCGCCCCTTGCTGCACTCGCCAAAGCCCTTGCTTGCCTCGCTGTGAGTTGCTTGCTCCTGCCCGCCCGCCTGCCTTCCTGTCTGTTGATCTTTGGGTCACCACGTTTAGGGCTCCGCCAAGGACCTTCTGGAATCCGCTGGCCACCCGCCTGCCCGCTCCCCTGTTTGCCTGCCTGCCTTCCTGCCTGTTGATCCATGGGTCACAGAAAGATGTATCCACGTGCACTTTTTTGGCACCCATAAGTGGCACATACGCTCTTCCTCTCTCCCTGCCATGCCTCTAAGCTGCACTTTGCTGATCCCGTTGCTGCTCCTTCTGCACTCTCTGTGTGGCATGGCATGGCATGGCATGGCATGGATATCTCTCTGTTACAGGGGCACACAGAGCTCAAGGTGCGCTCGCTGCTGTTGAGCCAGCAGGATCAGGTCACGCTGCTGCTGCGCTGCTCCTCATCCTTCTACTCGCCCTCGTGAGCCCTTCCCCCTTGGCCTCGCGTTTGTGTGTTTGTTTTGCTTGTTTCCTGCCCTTGTTTCGTGTTTCGTCCATCACGCCTATTGTCAAAACAATTCGCTTGTTACCCTTCCCTCAAAAACTCTGGGCCCCCACCTTGTTCCCTCCTTCCCCCTCCCCCCGCTGCAGCTACGTGCTGCGGTTCTTCGAGCAGCACCTGACACCGGACCAGACGCGAGCCATCAACGGCATCACCCTGACAGCGGACGGCTGTGGGGCCGTCTTTGATGTGCCAGTCAAGGACAAAGACCTCTACCTGAAAGGTGAGGGTTTTAACTCAACCTCCTCCCATTGAGTCCTCTGAAGGGTGCTGTCACATCACATTTCTCCCACCTCCCACCTCTTTGACGTGCCTGTCAAGGACAAGGACCTCTACTTGAAAGGTCAGGCCCAAAACTCAACCTCCTCCCATTGAGACCTTTGAAAGGTGCTGTCACATTGCTCCCACCTCCCACCTCTTTGACGTGCCTGTCAAGGACAAGGACCTCTACTTGAAAGGTGAGGGTTTTAACTCAACCTCCTCCCATTGAGCCCTCTGAAGGGTGCTGTCACATCACATTGCTCTCTTGCATCCTCTTTGACGTGCCTGTCGAGGACAAGGACCTCTACCTGAAAGGTGAGGGTTTGAACCACCACTTATTATTGATTGAGACCATTGCCATGACATTGCTCTCTCTCACCTCCCACCTCTCACCTTTTTGACGTGCCTGTCAAGGACAAGGACAGGTGCCATTGCATTGCTCCCACCTCCCACCTCAAGGGTGAGGGCTTGACCACCCACCTCCATTGAGACTGGTGCCATTGCATTGCTCTCTCTCGCCTCTCATTGCTTTGACATGACTGCAAACAGAAAGAAAACTCGTCTGTGCCTCACATGTGTTGTGTCTTGCCATCTCTGCAACAGCGGCAGCAGCGGCGAGCAACGGGCTGTCGAATATCCAGGTGGAGGAGGCGAAGACGCTTCCCGAGCTCAAGCAAGCCCCCATGACCAGCAACAGGTGAGGCGCAGTGCATGGGTTAGAACAAGAGAGGTGGGGTGCATGGGCAACAGGTGAGGGTGCATGGGCAACAGGTGAGGGTGCATGGGCAACAGGTGAGGGTGCATGGGCAACAGGTGAGGGTGCATGGGCAACAGGTGAGGGTGCATGGGCAACAGGTGAGGGTGCATGGGCAACAGGTGAGGGTGCATGGGCAACAGGTGAGGGTGCATGGGCAACAGGTGAGGGTGCATGGGCAACAGGTGAGGGTGCATGGGCAACAACAGGTGAGGGCTCTCCTTGGATCACGGCGACGGGGGTGTGTGGGAAGGTTTGCTGCCTGCACTTCCTTTGATTCCCTTGATTTTTTACTTCCGCTTCCAGCAGCTCCTGATGCTGCTGTGACGCCTGTGAGTTTAGGCTTGGGGGGTTGAGTGTGAGCTGTGAAGCGACGGCCCAACTTGCGCTGACATTTGCATCCCTGTAACGGGTCAGATGGTGCTGTGATGTGCGCAATATGAATCAACGGTGCTGATCGCAGCTTTGCTCCAGGATCCACGTCTCCTGGCTTGCCCGCCCAGCTTCTCGAATGGTCCGTCGTATCGATAACCAGCTTCTCTCTCTCTCTCTCTCTCTCTCTCTCTCTCTCTCTCTCTCTCTCTCTCTCTCTCTCTCTCTCTCTCTCTCTCTCTCTCTCTCTCTCTCTCTCTCTCTCTCTCTCTCTCTCTCTCTCACTTCGATCCCCTCTCTGCCAACCTTGTTGCACCACCCTCCTGGCATCCTTCCGTCAAATCGCCCATCCCCTCTTGCCCCTTTCCATCATCCCCTATCCCCTCTGGCGAAGTGATGACCAAATTTGCGCTGACATCTGCATCCCTGTAACGGGTTAGATGTGCCGTGATGTGCGCTAAATGAATCAACGGTGCTGATCGCTGCGAACTCGGTTAAGATGTACCGCTCTCCTTGGGCTTGCCCTCTTGTTACTTGTTGGCAAATTTTCGAGACGTCACAAAAAGTTACTCATGTTACGTGACCTCTCTTCTTGGGCTTGCCCTCTTGTTACGCATGGGGCCATTTACCTAAACCCTGTCGGTTTCACTCTCTGCAGTCCACCCCAACCCCTTTGATTAGCCTCTTCACCATCAATACTCTCATATTCGATCCCTTATCTTTCCATCACGCTCCTTCCCCTCTGGCGAAGTGATGACCAAATCTGCGCTGAAATCTGCATCCCTGTAACGGGTCAGATGTGCCGTGATGTGCGCAATATGAATCAACGGTGCCGATCGCACGTCCCCTGATTACCACCACTTCCCTCTCGCTCTTTCCTCCTGAACCTCTCCCCAATGGACCTGCCTCTCATCTCTGCCTCTGCCTCTCATCTGTCTGTCTGTCCGTCTGTTCCACACTCACCTCCTTCGCATTTCTCGTGTCCCTCCCAACTTCCTACGGCTCGTGTGTTGTCCCTTTTCAGTCCCGGAGGCCCGAGAAGATGGGGAGGAGGTGGAGGTGGAGGGGGAGGAGGGGGCAGCGGTGGACGTGGCAGGTTTGGTGGAGGTGGTGGAGGAGGTTATGGGGGAAACAGGAGGGGAGGTGGTGGTGGTGGCGGTGGGTGGAGGAGTGGCAGAGGGTAATGGATATGGAGGATCCTTATACACTACCTAAATCAAGGGGACCAGTTTTCTAGGCTCTCCTTACCAATCTCAATGTGCTTCCTTTCTGAGGCACATTACTGCCACTGCATGCTGCTGTGCTGAGCTGCTTGCTTCCCGCCTTGCTTTTATTCCTCTACACGGGATCTGTTGCAAGGTCATAATCCGTTCTGTACCATCTAATTTGTATGGTACTTCCTGTACAACCCATGACTGTTCTGAGATATTCGGTTTTACTGCTTATTGCACTGCTCAAGCTATGTGATGGTGCCATTGGAATTTTTAGCGGCACCCACCCATTACAAATCCTTAAATACCGTACATGGCATCCCAAGGGTAATAGTTTACAGCAGACCGTACGCAAAATTAGTGTACAGTGTCAGCGCACATCATGTGATGTACGCTGATTGTCATCACTAACCCTCAGAGGATAAAAAACCAAATGAAAAATAACAAATGAAAAAACCAAGTACGGTCGTTGCTGGGTCGTTGCTGGGTGGCCCCCAAAGGTACGGTACATGGCATCCTAGGTTGTAGCACCGCAATATAAGCCGACCCCAAATTGTGATGAGGGAAGAAAAAATTTGAGCCACTGAGGAAATGACTGCCGCTTGGGTGGGTGGGAGAGAAAGGAGAGAATGAGCTGGTATGTTTATATTCTAGAGATCGTGTCAGTGTCCCTTGGGGGTGATATGAAGCAGGGAAGAGCTCTTCACATTCGACACACCACTCCTCTCCGACTGATTCTTAGAGACGTCTCAAAGAAAGATGCCACTTGAGCCGGTGAATGTGAGAGGAGGGGGGAGAGAATGCGTCAGTGTATCAGTGACCCTTGGGGGTGATATAGTGCAGGGAAGAGCTCTCTATATCCGAGACATCACTCCTCCCCGACCGATTCGGCGACGGGGGGCCTTGTCCCGATCCCCTCTGCATCCCCTCCCCCTTCCCACCTCCCTTGTCCCCACCTCCTCGCCTCCGAAACGACGCCGAAATCACATCAATGAACGACGACCCGGCACTCCGTTTCCCCGCTCCCCCTCCCCCCATCCCTGTACCCCCCCCAGCAGCATCGTCAAAAGCGCCGTCATTCGCCAAGGCAGTGTACCGGTCTCCGTTGCTGGTGCTGGTGATGCCGCTGGCGGTGGAGCCGGGAGAGAGGAGGCGTGTGGAGGGGCTGTGGAGGGAGGAGAGGAGGTCCTCGTCTACTGTGTCCTCGAGGGCTGTGAGGACGTCGAGCATGGAGGGGCGCTGGGAAGGCGCCTGGTGTACACAGTCCCGTGCTATGGAGGCGAGGGAGATGAGCTCGTCCTGGTTGAAGTAGCCTGGGGGGTAGAGAGGATGGGGGGAGACAGCACAGGGGTAGGAAAATGGGGGCAGGAGCATGGGGGCATGGGAGCATGGGGACATGGGAGCATGGGGGCATGGGAGCATGGGGGCATGGGAGCATGGGGGCATGGGAGCATGGGGGCATGGGAGCATGGGGGCATGGGAGCATGGGGGCATGGGAGCATGGGGGCATGGGAGCATGGGGGCATGGGAGCATGGGGGCATGGGAGCATGGGGGCATGGGAGCATGGGGGCATGGGAGCATGGGGACATGGGAGCATGGGGGCATGGGAGCATGGGGGCATGGGAGCATGGGGGCATGGGAGCATGGGGGCATGGGAGCATGGGGGCATGGGAGCATGGGGGCATGGGAGCATGGGGGCATGGGAGCATGGGGGCATGGGAGCATGGGGGCATGGGAGCATGGGGGCATGGGAGCATGGGGGCATGGGAGCATGGGGGCATGGGAGCATGGGGGCATGGGAGCATGGGGGCATGGGAGCATGGGGGCATGGGAGCATGGGGGCATGGGAGCATGGGGGCATGGGAGCATGGGGGCATGGGAGCATGGGGGCATGGGAGCATGGGGGCACGAGAGCATAAGGGCAAGAGAACATGGTCGAATAAGAGCACGAGAGCATGAGCGCATGGGAGCATGGGAGCATGGGAGCATGGGAGCATGGGAGCATGGGAGCATGGGAGCATGAGAGCATGAGAGCGCACCTGCAAGAGCACTGTCAGCCATGAGGGGCATCATCTGGTCATCCTCTAGGAAGGGCGCCGCCTGATGGCACGAGAGAGAGAAGAGAGAAGAGAGGGTAGGTGGGGATGATGGGGGGAGAGGGAGAAAGTGAGACATGAAGGTGAATTTATGATTAGGCTGGCAGTGGAGCTTGTGAGGCTGGTGATGTGCTCCATGCACTCTGTGCATGTCAGCACATGTCAGCAACATCACACGTTCCACATGCCACACTAAACACGCAACGGTGCATGCACCACCGTCGACCGCACTGAACCATGCTGTACTCCATGACCTTGTGCTTCGTTATCAGCTCCATCAGCACCATATCGAACCCATCCGCACCCCACCAGGCTCCACCGCACTGAACCACTCTATATTGCACCAAATCACACTCCACCAACATACCAAGCTGGTGATATACACGTCCTGCATGGCCTTCTGCCCCGTGATCAACTCCAGCAGCACCACTCCGAACCCATACACATCCGCCTTCCTCTCATCCATGCTCGAAATTGTGTTCTCCCTCGAAAGAATCGGCGTGCTCTCCCTCTCCCTCGCGAAATGCGGCGTGCTTTCCCGCGACAGCACCGCCTCCCCATCAGTGTCGCTCCCACTCTTCCCCCCTCCACCCCGCCGCCTCCCACTCCCAAACGACCGCCCGCCCACGCCGCCCAGCAAGTCGCCACTACTGCTACCGCTGCTGCCAGCGATGCTGCTGCCGCCTTGGAGGCTGTCTAGCTGCCCCGTGCTGCCGATGCTCGTGCCGCGGCTGCGCGAGCTGCGGTGCGCGCGGCGCCGCCGTGCCAGGTCGTCCGCTGCTTGGGCGGCGCAGCCCCTCGCCAGCCCGTAGTCGGAGAGCTGGCGTTGTGCGGGTGTGGGAGAGAGGGGTGAAGGGGAGTGGGAAGGGGTTGAGGGGCTGTGAGAGCTGCGGAGCGCCCGACGCCACCGTGCCAGGTCGTCCGCTGCTTGGGTGGTGCAGCCCCTCGCCAGCCCATAGTCGGAGAGCTGGTGTTGTGCAGGCGGAAGGGCACAGGGACAGGGAAGATTGTAAAGACAGAGGAGCAGTTGTGAGGCATCTGAAGGGTGTGGTGGCCACGGGCAGGGCTGTAGTGGGGAAGGTGGCGGGGATGTGCAGGAGAGATGTGGGCAGAAGCAAGGAGAGGGGAGACGACGGTCGGGTTAAGCACACGCTCTAAAACTCAGCGGCATATTCCTGGTACTCCTCACGAGCAGCGCTTTTTTACGCTGTCTCATTGGTGAGTTGATTCTCTAGGCGCCTAAAAAATCGCTCCAGGACCCAGCGGTGCATTATTGGTACTCCTCGTGAGCAGCTCCGCCAGAGCACAAGTCAAATCACACCTTGGCGGTCATGTCAGCGCCGAGCAGCACGTTAGAGGAGGTGACAGCACGGTGGGTGAGAGGCGGGTCCACGCCGTGGTGCAGATGGGCCAGCGCTGACGCCACGTTCACCGCCACTCGCACCCTCGCCTCCCACGGCATGGGATCCAGGTTCGACCCTGTGGCACACACACGGGTGTTGGGGGGAGAGGGAGGGAGTGGTAGGGGGAGATGGGGGGGTTGGGTTTCGTATCTTAGGAATTCACGGGAAGGGGGTGAGGAGGGGTGAGAGGCGGGTCCACCCCATGGTGCAGACAGGCCAAGGCGGACGCCACGTTCACTGCCACTCACACACGCGCATCTCACGCCATGGGATCCAGGTTCGACCCTGTGCCAGTGGTGTTGGGGGGAGTGGGCTGGGGGGGGGTTGTGGGGAGGGGGTTTGGAGGGATGGGGGTTTGACTTTGAAGGTGGGCATGTGCCTCGAGAGTTCATCATGAGTGCTCATGATGTTTCGTGGGCTCACGAGGGGCCCAGAAAAAGAAAAAAAAAAGGACAAGAAAAAGGAAAAGAAAGAAGAAGAGAATAAAAGGGACTCGGAACGGGGGGTGGACTCACGGTGCAGGCGGTCAAAGAGAGTGCCATAGGGCATGTACTCAAACACGAGCATGCGCTCTGTCTTTCCCATGCAGTACCCCAGCAGCGCCACCAGACACCGGTGCCTCGCCCTCGCCAGCTCCTCCACCTTCTCCTTCAACTGCTCCTCACTCATCTCTGCGGTACAAGGCGATGGGAGTGTGGGGGGCGGAGGGGGGGGGACGGGGGCGGTGGGATGGTGCATTTGAGTGGTGCATAGCCCTCGCCAGCTCGTCCACCTTCTCTTTGAATTGCTCCTCACTCATCTCTGCAATGGAAGCCAATGGGCGGGAGGAGGGTTGGGGAAGGGATGGTGGGACGGCGGTTGTGAGTGGCATTGCAAGGCACCAGCACCTTCACCTTCTCCTATAACTGCCCCTCGCTCATCTCTGCAGCGCACCCACCAGGGGAAGGAAAGGACGTGTGGCGGTGGTGCGATGGTCACTTCACTTGCAAGTCGCTTCATGAAGCGAGGCATTCATTGAGGGGAGTCCAGACGGGGCGTAGGCAAGGTAATTGCCTAATGAATCGGTTAGTCAGGCCGAAGGACTTGCCACAGACACTCACTCTCGGGGTCATGTGCTCGCTTGATGATGACGTGTGGATTGGCGTGGTCTGGCAGGAAGTCCTGGGCCAGGTACATGGTGCCCGAGAGAGGTACAGAGCATGCTCTGAGTCGACTCAAGGAAAAGCAACTCACTCTCAGGGTCATGTGCTCACTTGATGATGACGTGCGGGTTGGCGTGGTCTGGCAGGAAGTCCTGGGCCAGGTACACGGTGCCGCATACATGGCATGCTCTGAGGCAACCCAAGAGTGTTCCGACTCAACTACTCACTCTCAGGGTCATGTGCTCGCTTGATGATGACGTGCGGGTTGGCACGGTCAGGCAGGAAGTCCTGTGCCAGGTAGACGGTGCCAAAGCTGCCCTTGCCACACAGCGTGGTAAGGTTCTTGGTGGCGCGCTTTATCTTGGACAGCCCGTATTCAGTCACTGGCACTGGGAGGGGGAGCAAATGGAAGCGAGGGGCGGGAGGGCAGAGGGCAAAGGGAAGGTGGAGGAGATGAGAGGGCAGAGGGCAGAGTCCTTTGTGGTGCGCTTTGTCTTGGGGTTGACCCTCGCCAGAGGAGTCTCAACACACTTCAATGCACGGGGAGGCGCGAAGGCAAGGGAGGGGGGGGCTTTTTTGTTTTTCAGAATTCTCACAAATCGCTCACAGGTAATGCGGTGCCTTATGCTCTTCAAGACGCGGGGGAGGCAGGGCGAGGGCGAGGGTGGAGGAGGATGGGCATCTAAAAAATCTAAAGAATTGCTCACAGCACAGGTACCTCAGGGACCTACACTCACATGTACCGCAGGGACCTACACTCACATGTACCGCAGGGACCTACACTCACATGTACCGCAGGGACCTACACTCACATGTACCGCAGGGACCTACACTCACATGTACCGCAGGGACCTACCCTCACATGTACCGCAGGGACCTACACTCACATGTACCGCAGGGACCTACGCTCACATGTACCGCAGGGACCTACACTCACATGTACCTCAGGGACCTACACTCACATGTACCGCAGGGACCTACACTCACATGTACCGCAGGGACCTACACTCACATGTACCGCAGGGACCTACACTCACATGTACCGCAGGGACCTACCCTCACATGTACCGCAGGGACCTACACTCACATGTACCGCAGGGACCTACGCTCACATGTACCTCAGGGACTTACGCTCACATGTACCTCAGGGACTTACGCTCACATGTACCTCAGGGACTTACGCTCACATGTACCTCAGGGACTTACGCTCACATGTACCTCAGGGACTTACGCTCACATGTACCTCAGGGACTTACGCTCACATGTACCTCAGGGACTTACGCTCTTCGACACGTTGAGGAGGCAGGGTGAGAGGCGGGGCGACATCAAGAGCGGAGGAGGAGGGGGGTCTGCGCTGAGTGATGTATCCGAAGCATGCAGCTGCAATGGTGACAGCTGATGCGAGGGCGAGAGCAAGAAGAAGGAAGTTGAGCCACCCCCACCCAGAAGCTGACGCCGGTGTGTATGTGCTTGTGCTGTCCGTGCTGCTGCCCTGGTCTGCTGCAGCCATCGCTGCTACTGTGATGGGGGAATGAAGCAGGGCGGGTAAGGAGAGATGGGGCGGGGAGAATAGCGGGAGATGGGGTCGGGGGGATAGTGGGAGATGCGGCGGAGGGGATAGTGGGAGATGCGTTACGAGGAGATGAGGGAGGGACAGAGAAGATGGGGGGGGGAAGAAGAGGAAGAAGAGGGGATGGGAAAGGGGGGAGGTGGAGAGGCGAGAAGAGAGGGTAGGGGAAGGCACGCGGGTGAGATATGAGGGATGAGGGATGAGGGATGAGGGATGAGGGATGAGGGATGAGGGATGAGGGATGAGGCCCATGGGAGAGAGAGCGAGTGTAGGAGGTAAGGCAAGACGAGAGGCATTGAGGTGGAGAGGAGAAGAGGCAAGGAGGAAAGAGGCAGAGAGGGAAAGAGGCAGAGAGGGAAAGAGGCAGAGAGGGAAAGAGGCAGAGAGGGAAAGAGGCAGAGAGGGAAAGAGCTTGTAACCTTCGTCTCCCATCGCCTTAAACTCTCTATCTCCCGTCCTGACTCCCTTACGTTGTCTCTCCTCCCCTTCTTCCCCCACGCCCCCACTTCACCCACCTCTCTCTCACGACCCCCTACCTCCCTCGCCCCTTACCCATCCCTCACCCTCACCCCCCTCCCTCCTTCGCCCCCCTCCGTCCCTCGCCCCTCACTCATCTCCCTCCCAGGTCCCCCACCCAGCAGCACAGTCAGACCCACTCACCGCCATATGTGGCCCGGGGGGGAGCCTCCACTGGGGGAGGCTGGGTTGGTGGTGGCTCAACCGGTGGAGGTTCAACTGGAGGAGGTTGAACCGGAGGGGGCTGCTGCTGCTGCTGCACGGGTGACGGCGGGGGTGAGTGCACTGCTGCCCCTGCCCCTGAGCCTTTCTGTTTGTCGGTCTGTATGAGGGGATCCACAGGCCAAGCGCCCTCCTCCAGCGATGGGGACGAGTTCCAAATGTCCTCCCACCCCGTTCCGCTGCTGCTGCCACCTCTGCTGCTGCCGCCACCGCTGCTGCTGCCGCCACTGCTGCTGCTGCTGCTGCCAGTACTGCCAGTACTCCCAGTGCTGCCGGTGCTGCTGCCGGTGCTGCTGCCCCTGCTGCTGCCACTGTTGCGGCCACCAGTGCCAGGCCATGCGCCCTCCTCCTGGGAAGGGGGTGCATTCCAAATGTTGTCCCAAGCTGTACCGCTGCTCCCAGTGTCCGCACTGCCACCACTGCTACTACTAGTGCTGCCACCACCAGTGCTGAGACCAGTGGTGCCGCTGCTGCTACTGCCTTGGGAGCCGGTTGGAAGGGTGGGGGAGGCGGAGGAGGGAGAGGATGGGGAGTCGGACCCTGTGGGGCAAGGGGAGAGCTGCTGCGGCGCTCCTTCCAGGCAGTTTCCGCCAACTCGGAAGTCAATGGAGGAGGCGGGAGGGACGGGTGGGACGGGGCCTGACAGGCGGTTGGACGACAGATCCCTGTAGAGTGGCGTGGGTGGGTTCAGAAGGGTTAAAAAGGGTGAGTGTGGGTGCAGAGGAGAGAGTTGAGGTACAGAGGGACGGGTGAGACGAATCCTGACAGGCCATTGGACAAAAAATCCCTGTAGAGTGGCGTGGGTGTAGAGGAATGAGAAAGGGTGGGAATGGATGCAGCGGAGAGCGTTGGGGTGCAGAGCAGAGTGGTGAGAATGAGAAGCAGAAGATGCTACGAAGGAGAATGAGGCACACAAGTTGGGAGAGCTAGCTGGAGGGCCCCTTATGATCAGTATGCCCCAAGACTCAAGACTCACAGCGTGGTGATATTCGACAACGCGAGCAGGCAAGCAGGAATGCCCCCCTCCAGGTCGTTATGCCCCAGCATGATCACCCCCAGCTACCCCAGCCCACACAGGTCCTCGGGAGAATTTGAGGCGCCTCAAACATCATCTCATATCAAAACTCACAGCGTGGTGATGTTCGGCAGCGCAAGGAGGCACGCGGGAATGCTCCCCTCCAGGTCGTTATGCCCAAGCATGACCACCCCCAGCGACCCCAGCCCACACAGGTCCTCAGGTATCTCCCCTGAGGGCTGGTTGCTGTTGAGATAGAGCGCTGTGAGCGCTGACAGGGAGGCCAGGGACACACAACTCACAGTGTGGAGATGTTGGGCAGAGCAAGCAGGCAAGCAGGAATGCCACCCTCCAGGTCGTTATGCCCAAGCATGACCACCCCCAGCGACCCCAGCCCACACAGATCCTCAGGAATCGGCCCCGAGAGCTGGTTGCTGTTGAGGTAGAGCGCTGTGAGCGCTGAGAGGGTGGCTAGGGAGGGCGGCAGGGCGCCGTGCAGCGAGTTGTGGTCGAGGAAAAGCTCCCGCAGGTTGGGGAGGGATGTGAGGGTGGGTGGGATGGGGCCGGTGAAACTGCATGACTCGAGGGCACTGGGGAACGGGTGGGAGAGGGGGTGGGGGAAGGTTAGGGGGGAAGGGGGAGGGGGGAGGGGGGAGGGTGGAGAGACATGGGAGAGTGGGTAATGAGGGAGGGTGGAAAATCACAGGGATAATGGGGGAGGGGGAGGCCGGGGAACGGAGTGGAGGGGTGCAATGGGTGCAGAAGGGAAGGCGCGCAAAAGAGTGACTTGAGTGCAACGGAATGAGAATGGGCACAGCACCAAGGGAGAGGTGCAAGGCAGGGGCGGGGAGAGGGTAGAATGCCGAGGAAGGGGAATGTGGGGCAATGGAGTTGTGGCACAACGGAGTTGTGGGGCGATGGGGGTGCGGGGCATGAGAGGGGCTTGAGAGGGGCTTGAGAGGGGCTTGAGAGGGGCTTGAGAGGGGCTTGAGAGGGGCTCACATGGACTCAAGAGAGGACATGGCGCCAAAGAAGTCTGGGAGAGGGCCTGATAGCTGCAGGTTAAAGCTGAGATCACTGCAGGGGCGGTGGCATGGGGATCGGGATGGGAATGAGTGAGAATCGACATGTTTTGACGTGTTCAGGGATGTGGACATGTGCCGATGAGTAACCGTAACCATGGGAATGGTGGTTGTATTAGAGTGTGATTTCCATGGTGTGATCTAGTGTGGGAGTGGAAACAGGTGCACGAATGGCAGAGCATAGATGCATGGCCTCACACGCCCTTCACTTCTATGCTTCGTCCACTCGTCCCTTCGTGTACGCGAATGTAAGACTCACATGTACTTAAGACTCACATGTACTTAAGACTCACATGTACTTGAGGCTCTGCATGCCCCTGAAGGAATCGGGGATGGACCCTTCTAGGTTGTTGGACACCACATAGCTGCACGCAGGGAGGGGAGGGAGGGCACGTGGTTACACGGTTACATGGGAGGGTAGATGGCGAGATGGTTGGAAAGGGAGGTGAGGCGGGTGAGAGACGTGAGGAGGATGAGGGGAGTGAGAGGGAAGGGGTGTGAGGGTGGTAAGAAGACATGCGGGAATGAGAATGACACTGGAGCAACGAGTTAAGCAACAAGAGAGCCATGTGAGAGAGATGGGACCCTGGCAGGTCCTGACCACTGGTCTGGGCACCCCTGTGCATGCTGACCCAGGGGGGGCCAAGATGGGCCTGTGAGACTTTAGTGGGAGTGGTGTGGGAGTGGTGCGTGCGGGGGAGGGGAGGTCACAGTGCTTCAAGGCGTGGCAGCGATCCCAGCGATGCAGGCAGCGAGCCCGACAGTGCATTCTCGTCCAGTGACCTGACGCGAGGAAGGCGGTGGTTTGCACAAGGTTGGTACATGGGGGACATGGGGCAGCAATACTTTGAGTCGACTCAAAAGCCCCCATGTACAACAAACCAATACACAAGGGGTGTGGTTCACAGGGGGGTGGTTCGCAGAAAGGGCGGCCGCAGGAGCACGGTTGGCAGAAAAGGGGTTCGCAGGGGGAGGGTTCACAAGGGCTGTGGGGGAACAGCCATGGGAGATTGCCGATTCAGAGTCAATAGGTGCGAGCATTGAGCGGTGGGGGAGGTGAGTGGAGAAGGGGCTACAGGGGTGGAGGGGAGTATAGAGTGGTGGGGATGCCTCCACGAAGGCACATCTCAGAATGAGTGAATGTAGAATGACTATTGTGTTGACGTTAAAGTGGGATGCATGAGTGAGCGAGTGTGTGAGTAAGTGTGTGAGTAAGTGTGTGAGTGAGTGTGTGAGTAAGTGCGTGAGTGAGTGTGTGAGTAAGTGTGTGAGTGAGTGTGTGAGTGAGGGGGGGAGGGAGGGGGGGGTGCAGTGTGGTGAAGGTGGAGGAGCAAAGTAGAGCAGCAGTGTGGATGGGTGAGATGAGAAGGGTCAGTCATCAACTCACAGGGCGACCAAAGACTGCACGTTGCCAAGAGAGTTGGGAATGGGGCCTGTGAAGCCGTTCTTGAAGAGCTCGCTGGGACGGAGAGAGAGGAAGGGAGAAGGAGAGGGAGGCGTCAGAAGCAATTCAGAGAAACAGATTCGGGAGTGGATAGGACGCAAGCAGTATGGAATGCAGTGAGAGGGTGAAGTAGAGTGGGGAGAGTGAGAGGGTATGGCAAGCACTGACAGGTCCATGAGTCGTGGCCAGGAGACAAACCAGTCGGGAATGCAGAGTGGGTAGTGCGGAGAGTGGGGTGAGAGAGGGGAGAGTGGGGAGAGGCAGGAGGGCAAGCGAGGGCAAGCGAGGGCAAGCGAGGGCAAGCACTGACCAGCGAGGGCAAGCACTGACCAGCGAGGGCAAGCACTGACCAGCGAGGCGGGAAGACGCACTGACAAAGACAAGCAGGCGGGAGGCCAAGACAAGGGAGTCACGGCCAAGGGACCAAAAAACGGTGGAGGCGGCCCCGGCAAAGGGCCGCGCAAGAACTAACCAGCCACGAGCTGGCTCTCCGCTGGTTTGGACGGCTGACGCCACGGCAGATTGCGCTACGCGTCCGTAACCGCGGAGTTCACAACCTCAGCGCCAAGATCTTGTCCCCGGATGAGAAAAAGGCACTGGGGTTGGGTTTGAAGTTCATACCCACGCCTACCGTTTCCCTCTCTGCTGGAGTCGAGTTAGATCAGCTCTTCCGACAGATCTCGTTACATTTCTTCTTCAAGGATGCAGGCAGTTCTACGAGGGAATCGCGCTTTAGAGTTCGGAACCCGAGTTGGCTTCCTGATCGGATCATCATTCCGGAGCAGGTCTTCAAAGACTCGTCCTCGGACCTGTCTGTCCTGTTGAAGACAACAAGGCCTGACCGCCGCCGAAACATCTCGTTAGGTGTCAGAAGGGCCTTGCGTTCCATCGCTGCAGATCGAGACGTAGTTGTGAAACCCGCCGATAAGAACGTTGGGATTACAGTCATGGATAGGGACCATTATGTACGGTTGTGCATGGAGCATCTTGGCGACAGCAACACCTACACTCCTGTCCAACATGATCCTACCGTCGACGTTGAGCGGAAGCTGCGTGACTTGCATAGCGTATGGGGCCCTGCTTTTCCCGAAACGCTTTGGAAGTATTTCTTTGACAAACCACCTGGAGGATGGAAGCCCGCAGCCTTCTACATCTTACCGAAGCTGCACAAGGAGAAGCTCGCGGGGCGACCGATCGCCGCCTCGCATTCATGGGTGACTTCTAACGTCAGCCGCTGGTTAGATGCTGAGTTACGGCCGTGGGTTTTGCAGCAGCAGACATACCTCCGGGATTCCCTCTCGCTGCTTTTGAAGCTGGAAGAAACCGCCTTCCCGAAAGGGATCCTTCTGGCCACCTACGACGTTGCCTCTCTTTACCCCAGCATTCCCTTACGACGAGGCATCGACGCAGTTAGCAGCATTCTACAGAGTGGGAGACACCCGAGCTACCTTCCTATCATTGCCCTGCTGGAGTGGGTGATGATGAACTCATATGTGGAGTTCGACGGCCAGCTGTATCTTCAAAGGCAGGGTACTGCTATGGGAACTCCTGCAGCAGTGTGCTTTGCCGTGCTGTTCATGAGCCGTTTGGATGAGGTGTTGAAGAGGAGATGGACTGGGACGCAGCCGCTTTGCCACGTCAGATACATTGACGACGGCCTCATTGTTTGGCCAGGATCTCGGACCGAGCTTGAAGCCTACCTGAACGTGTTCAACGAGCTCGACCCCAACATTAAACTGACGTGGCATGTCTCAGATGTTTCGGCAGATTTTCTCGACATGGTCATCTTCAAGGGACCCAGATTTGCCGAAAAGGGTATCCTGGATCTGAAAGTTTTTCAGAAACCTATGAACCGGTACCTCTATCTCCCGTTTTCTTCGTTCCACCCGCGACACTGCAAGATTGGGTATATCAAGGCAGAACTGAAGCGGTACTTACTCCGTTCGACATCTGCTGAGTCCTTTCTCACCTCTAAGCACGCATTTTTCCAACGGCTTAGATGTCGCGGTTACCCAAGAGATTTCCTCCTGCCCATCTTCCGGACAGTTTTCTTCCGCCACCGACACCTCCTATTGGAGGAAACCGCTGCACGCCAAGCTTTTAAACTTACCTCTCCCCCCACCCGCGGCCCCCTGGTCTTGAAGACAGTGTTTACTCCGATGACATCTCGTCTCAGGCTGGGGGTCTTTTTGAGGCGCCTCAAAAATCGCCTAAGTACTCGCGGATTTTATGTGGAGAGGTTTATAACTGCTTGGAAGTGTTCTCGTAACTTGCAAAAGTTACTGGTTCGTGCGCGGTTACCAAAATGACAGGTGTGTTGAAGACTTTCCCGAAGGCTGACTCTGCACCCTGGGTGTTTCCCATTGCTTAGTTGGCGATTGCTTGTAAAATACAATCTGGGTAGTTGGTTGACACAAAGTAGATCTCGAGGGCAGTAGGCTAGTACTTAGCGAGCTGCTGCTCTAAGCCCTTCTTTCTTGTGTGGATCTGACAAGCACTGATGAAGGCTGATCGGGTTTAACCCGTTGGCCGAAACTAGTTTGCGATTAGGATTCTTACGAGTTAAGGGGTTTCTTGTACTACTTCAATTTCTGGGAAGTTTTTTACAGTTTCGTTCCTTACAGTTGCTTAAGCGTTTTCTTCAGGATTTGCAGCTATTCCGATATGAGTTTGGATTCTGACCAGCGAGGGCAAGCACTGACAGGTCCATGAGTCGCGGCCAGGAGGCGAACCAGTCGGGAAGGGCGCCGTCCAGCTTGTTGCGCGACGCCTTGCTGTGATGGGTTGGTGGTGGTGAGGGGTGATGGGGGGTGGTGGACGCGGGTAGAGGGGTGGTGAGGGACGATGGGTGAGGGTGATGGGAGAGGGGCGATCGGCGAGGGGTGATTGGCGAGGGGTGATGCATGCGGGGTGTTGGGGGGGGAGATAGAAGCAAAGACGTGGACGGAGATAGGAGGGAGATAGGAGGGAGATAGGAGGGGGAGGTGTAAGTGAGGCAGACGAAGAAATATGCCTCGTCTTACGAGGCAGACGAAGAAATATGCCTCGTCTTACGAGGCAGACGAAGAAATATGCCTCGTCTTACGAGGCAGACGAAGAAATATGCCTCGTCTTACGAGGCAGACGAGGGCAGAAAGCAGCAGGGCAGCACACGTAAGGAGTCGGCAGGGGGGAACAGGGGGAGCATTCGAAAAGGGGCGGGCAAGGGGAAAAGGGGAGCATTAAAAAGCGGCGGCGAGGGGAGCAGGGGGAGAGTACTCACAAGTACACGATTTGTGAGAGGGCGGAGTAGGTTGCTGGAATCTCGCCTGTCAGCTGATTGGCTCCCAGGTTGCTGTAGGCGCACGGATGTGCAGAAGGGGGAAAGGGATGAGGGCATGAGGAAGGATGAGGGGTGGAGTGGATGAGGGGATGTTGGGGAAGCGGGAACAAAGGAAGATAGCACGCGCTATTGCAATGCATTGTGGGAGAGTGGCAGGGGTAACGCGACTCACATTGCAACCAGGGGTAACGCGACTCACATTGCAACCAGGTTGGTGAGAGCCCCCAGAGACTCTGGCAGCTGGCCCGAAAAGTTGTTGGTCTTGAGGTTGCTGCAGCAGACACAGCAGGTGGGGTGGACAATGAAGCGTAGGGGATGCGACAAAAGAGTTAGATGGGTTCTGGGTTGACCCTGTGTTTCTAGGTGAACATGGAAACACAGTTATAGGGGAATGGAAGCACGGGCAGTGGGTATGGTTGCGGTGCTCACAGCAGGGTGAGGGCGGTGAGGGAGAGCAGCACGTCGCCTGGTATGGGCCCTTCCACTGCGTTGCCTTCCATAGACCTGGTGGGTTGGGGTGGGGATGAGGAGGGAGCCGAGTGTGAGGGAGGCGACAGGCGTGGATGAGGGAGAGCAGCACAGCAGCAGCAGGGTGAGGGCGGTGAGCTAGAGCAGTACATCGCCTGGAATCGGCCCCTCCACTGCGTTGCCCTCCAGCGACCTGGTGGTGTGGGAAGGGGGAGGAGAGACGAGGTTGAGGGAGGCGACAGGCGTGGATGGGGGAGGAGGGATCATGGGAGGTTGGTGTGGAGAAACGTTTTAAGCCGCCGCTGGCGTGAGTGATATTGCTCGAGGGCGCGTGATTTGAGTGGTGAGGGCCGTGCGAGATGAATGGTGAGGGGCTTGAGAAACTCAGCGCTTACAGGTGCTTCAGGCCAGACAGCCTGGAAAGGTCCGCCGGCAGAGAGCTCGAGAAGCTGTTGCCATCCAACGCCCTGTGCGAGAGCGACAGAGGCGGAGAGGGGAGAGAGAGGGGAAGAATGAGTGAGGAGGGGAGATGGAACCGTCTGGAGAGCACTTCATTATTATGAGAGCATATGTGAGCTCACTGGATTGAGAAGCGACGTCAGAGTTACAATAACCAGGCGCACAAGTTTTCGGCTGCACACCACATTCTGACTAACAACCAGACGCAGCGCCATGACTCGGGTGCCATCCCATCCCCGTTTAGCAAGCAGAGAGCAGCCTCGCATGAACACCCGAGAGAGCAGGGCACTGACAGGTAGGTGAGGTAGGAGAGGTGGGCGAGGTCCGCGCCTGGGATGGGCCCCGATAGCTGCAAGCTGGATATGTCGCTGGGGAAGGGCACGGGCACGGGGAAGGGGAAAGGTGGGACAGGAAAGGAAGGGAGGGAGGACGGAAGGAGGAAAGAAGGGGGGAAAGGGTGGGTTCGTAGGGGGGAGAGAGGCATCCACGTGTGAGTTACAGACTTGTGACACGTGTCAGTGATGCCCCTGAGATTGGACCCGATGGATATCATATCGCCGTCCAAGACGGGGGTGAATGTGTGGCTGCGTGGAGGAAGGCGGATCGAAAACTCATATCATATCCCCGTCCAAGATGGTGCGCGTGTGTTTGGGTGCTGAACCTGAAGGATGCGGGCCCGTCCCAGGTACGTCGCTGGGTGAACCGACGGGAAAAGGAGGAGTGGATAAGAGATGCAACCTGGCACATACCAGGCGATTCTTCAGGTAGATGTCGTCCGGTAGCTGCCTGGGGAGAGGGGGGAGGGAAGGGGGGAGGGAGAGTACTTACAGATGTACGACTTGGTTGGTGTCGGGGTCGCATCTCACGTCCGCCTCCCATCCGCCGTCGCACGGACTCGTCGCATCAGACCACGACGGCAGTGCGGACTCCTGCGACAGCTGAAGCGTCGCGCGCACGCGGAGAAGAGCTTCCGCTGATGGAACGGACGGAGCGGGGAGGGCAAGCGCGCGGAGCGGACGCGAGGAATGCGCGCGGGAAATGGACGCGGGGAATGCACGCGGAAAATGGGCGCGGGGAACGCATGCGGAGAATGGGCGTGGGGAGTGCACGCGGAAAATGCACGCGGGGAGTGCACGCGGGGAGTGCACGCGGAAAGTGGGCGCGGGGGAACGACAGTTGTACGCAGTGAGAAAATGATGGGAGCGAGACGACGACCGCACAAGAACGACATTTGGAAAGCGACGTATGGGGAGGACTTAAAGGAAGGAGGATAGCACAGAAGAGCCTTGTCGAATTCGACTGAACAAGTCGAGAAAGGGTTCCCTACAGAGGGGGCAAAAGTGGCTCAGTTGCGTCGAAAGAGGCCGAGCAGCGGAAGTGACGGAGGAAATAGGAGGATGGGGAGGAAGGGGGGAGGGGAAGGAGGGAAGAAAGAGGGGGGGGAGGAGAGGGGGGTTGGAGGGGGGGAGGGGAAATGGGGAGGGAAGAGGGCAGGAGGTAGGAAACGGAGGGGAAAGCGAAGGGAGCGAAGAAAAAGGGACATGGTCGTCAGAAGGTAACCGTTGCGTAGTTACCATCAGGTGAAGAGGCGACAAAAGCAGGCGAGAAGGCGAGGGGTGTCGCAAGAGTGCAGAGTAGCAGGCACGCGGCCGCGAAAGCCGGAGAACGCGGGAAGATTAACGAGGCACCAACCGGACGCCATTTACCCGTCATGACGAACAGCTTAGCCCGAAACGACGGTTGAGAGCAAGCTGGATCTACGAATGGGAAGAGGTCCGTGAGACTAGGTGTCTGCAGTGTTACCATCATACGCGTAGCGTAATGAACCTACGAATCTGCCATCACCATTAGACACCGGACAGCGCGAATCACGGTCTAAGCGGTGTCATCGACCTTCGCGAACGTGGCCTGGGAAACTCTTCCGACAAGTGCGGAGCGGGGTGAGAGACGCCTCAGCAATGGGAACAAAGAACGGAGACACGACAGACGGAGTGCAAGCATGCCCCGCCAGGCTGTTTGCCAGCTAGGTTCAGCAGCATTAGAGCATCTCCTTGTCCCCTCGCAGATTTCGGTACTGATGGGAAACGCTGGAAGACAGATTTTTGTTTCGCAAGCTTTCGGGAATTGCGAAAGAATGGCAACACCCAATAGAAACCGATTTGCGAGAATCTCACAGAAGTTACCTTAGTCTGGCGAATTTTGAGGCGCCAATCGTAATGTTTTGCCCAGCCTCGGACTTGACCGACACGAACACGGACATGCGTGCACTATGGGTCCAGGTCAGGTCAGGTCAGGTGTTTCGGATTCACGCAAAAAAAAGTTCCCCTAAACAGAAAATCTCCGCCTATGCGCAGAGGCCGGACAGCGTGTGAGCTTTCGTGGCACAGCTATTGGTCTCAAGCTTTACAAAAGAATCAAGCCTAGTTTATACACTTCCACAGGCAATAATCTGGGTACGCTACGGTACTCTGTTCTGGAGCTTATCTATACTGCGTACTAGTTGACTCGCACAAACCGTCTAATGCTAAAACCCTGACTAAAATAACAAGGCTGATCCTTGTCCACCACTTCATTCCAGAAACCAGAAACGGAAATATGTTGCGATCGGGTAAAATGTATGTTAGTGGTGTGGAGCCGATGCAACAATGGTGGATGTGGGCAGCGCGAGTGAGAGAAAGCTATCAAGTGGAGATTCAGGCCGTGAAGAACGCTTCTTCGACGCACTACGCGCCCTACAGTTGGAACGAAGGTCTTTTGTGAGTCTGAGCGGTCTGGCAGATGCTTCAGCCGGTGCAAAGAAATCCAAGACGAATGAAAGTAGGCCAAAGGTAGCACACCCTTGCAACATTGCCATTGGTGGACCTGCAGCAGCCGAACCAAGAGTTATAACAAGAGCATTTCCGATAAAAGGGAGAGCAAGAACGTGGAGAGAATGTGGCCGTGATAGGGAGACAGAGAAGGCAAGCCAGGACATGGAAATCGGGCTCATTGAAAAACTCTCGAATCTCACCTGGGATACTTGCTGCCAGTCCAGCTGCACATCCAGCAAGCCCTGGCTTTGCACCTGGTACAGCCAGGATCATTGGGAAACGACATGGATGGAAAAGAGTGAGATGCGAAGGACGACTGATCACCGAGTGGGGGAGTGTCAGGAGGGGAGAAGGGGAATGTGAACGCAAAAAACTCTAGATGAAGCGGAACGCAGGGCGGTTAAATAGACATAGAGCGATCGAAGAATGACATATGAAAACATTCGTCGATCGTCAGCAAGGCACTCACTGTCAAGAAGATCATTCCTCAAGTTCTCAATAGCTGCTGACGTGGCAGCATAGACAGCTGACATGATAGCCACAGTCTGTGAACAAGGTTGGGAAGCATGAGCAGGTAGTGAAACAGGGTCAGCTTGGCTGGTTCACACCAGATGACATGCATGGTCGACTCGTACACATAAATAAATTGCACACATCAGATTTCGCACACAGCATGCATGACTCACATATGTCCAAAGCATCTCCTTATTGGTTCGCATTTACTTGCAGAATCCCATCACAGCAGTCCACACAAGTGCATTACATCTTCATGGCACTGGGTTGCAAGCAAGCCTTCATGAGCCTCGGGGGCTCCCATATCACAAGGCTCAGACCCCCTTACAGGCAGCTTACACGCAAACCTTACTTGAGGGCCATTGGTTGAGATGGTGAATCAAGGCACATTGGAGCCAAGAACACGTAACAGGACAGCATGGGAATCATTCGGTTTCCTCTCACCTTAAGGCCGAAAGCGGACTCGCGCATGGCTACCTTGGAGCCCTCGCGAGCCACGAAGCCCAGCCCTGCATGGACGAGGAGACGGCGGACAATGATGCGGACAATGAAGGGGGCAACGAGGGAGAATGAGGGGGGGAATGAGGGAGAATGAGGGGGGCAATGTCGATTGACGAGTTTGGTATCGATCCATAAAAAACGGCGACAGCGACACATGAGCCTCTTGAGAGGTTCAACGGCGATGCGTTATGGTCTGCAGGAGGTGGCAGGATGCAAACGAGAAGGAATACACCAGGGTCTCGAGACGAGTGCGAAGTGGCGCATTTTGAGATTGGCGATAAACGAGTGGCGCATCTCGGCCCAAAGTGGTTGTCCCAAAAGACTGTGAGACTGGCGAGAGGCCGACAGCCGGACAACTTATCATAAGTGAGTTTGCCGAAGCTTCGCAGTCTTAACCAGCCACTTATCGCGAGTTTACGGGTACAAACCATCATTTACTCAATACCATTTGACTTACCAAAGCCTAGAGCACCGCCGAGCACAGCACCGCCAGTGGCGGCCGCAGTAATGCGGACAACAGCCGCCTTAATCGCCGCTGTGGCCGAAACCGGCGGCAAGTCGTCGACCAGGGACACAGGCGCGGGAGAAAGCGGCGACGCCATCGCGTGGTATTCTATTGGATAAAGCGGATTGAATGCGAACGAGCAAGATGAGCTGGTCAGGAATTTGTCAGAAAGGAAATCTTGAGGTGGCGGACCAGAGGGTTTCAGAAAGGGGAAAGATAAGGGGGCGGGAGAGGGGGGTTTTGGGGGGGGGGGAGATGGCGGAGAGTGGAAGGGAACCAAAGGGCATACAAACTAGGGGAGGAAATGTTTGTATCCGACATAAGCATCGGGTAGATGATCCAGTACAAGCATTGTGCCTTGTTATGAAGGTTGAGACCCGCTAGATTCTGCATGGTAATAAATGTATATAGAGGATGTGAAAAAACGAAAAACAAAATCAAATAAGTTTTTTGGGATCATCAATGTTTTGTTATAACTCCAACAGGGAACAAACGCAACATCTTACATCTTTTATTGTAAGCTTCTATCATATAATGACTGGCTGTAATTGATTTTTTCGACATTCCTTACCGCGACCAGCAACATTGCGTACAGCAGCAGCCGTTCGCCCGTTACTGCTAACGGGGCTTCACCAACTTCGCGCGCACTGTTTCACCAAACCTTGCATCGCTGGCCCAGCCGAGTCGGTCTACGCTTCAGGACTAGCCCGGGCCTCCATGCCAGCGTAACACTTGCTAGCTCGCACGCTCCGCGTAACTATTGCATGTTTTCGCACATAAGTATTCGCTCATGCCTTCGCTCATACTTTGTACTCTTTTGACACTCTATTGCAATCCTCGCTACTTCGTTCCATTGCACCCGTAACACTTGGTATTCAGAGCCACTTTCCTTTCGGACCACGCATCTCCGCACCCCAGGAAATCAACTTTTGATTTTTTTCACTCGAAGGGACTTATGCCCCTTAGCCCCTAGAAGCCGTTGTCCTCACGTTCTCTCGTAAACCCGTGCAGCCACGACTGCACCTAGACTAAGCTGAGCCGACGCCCTTCGCCATGGCTGAACACATCGGCGTCACTACGCTCACGCAGGACCGTTTGAACGAACTGTTGCAGCAACTTCGCGAAAGCTCTGAAGAAATCGCGGCGCTGACGGCAGAACGCACGTCCTTGCAAAATGACGTCGCACGAGCACAACAAACACAATCGCAAGCACAAGGCACACCGGGACAACCCGCACCACAAGCATCATAGCACGGATGTGGGGCAACCCGCGAGCGCGACCAGTGATGGCGTCGTCCGCAACGACGAAGACGACGACCGCGGCACGACACACCCCGAAGCGACGAATGCGGCCAGATGTCAACCTCGCGTCACAATTTCAGTGCCGACCGGCGAGTCAACACCGCAGTCGCCGATGCCGCAGCGTCCGCCATGCTTTGACCCGAGTCAACGGGGTGGTCCTACCGTTCAGGCGTGGTTGTTCACGATGAACATTTTCTTCGACGCCAACTACGTCTTGGAGGATACGACGAAGATTCGCTACGCCGTGTCGCTGCTGCGAGGACCCGCCATGGATTGGTGGCGTGTCATCGTCACGAAGCCGACGGACTACGCGACTCTATCGACATGGGAAGGACAAACTGGACCCTGGGCGCCTTCGTATTTCGTGGAGGTGCCCCAATATTGCGCGTGGGACGCGTGGTGTGTAAAACTTATATGCTATAGTCTGTCTAGGCTGTAGTGGGGTAGTTCATATAGGGTACAACACTTTTAGGTTTCCTACTTGTACCCACCTGCTTGCTAGTTCAGCGATTCCTTCCTTCACTATTCTGACATGGTATTCTGAGCAGGTTCCCTCGTGGGAACGTTTTTCTTAGGGCCCACCACAATATTTTTTTTTCCTGCCCTGCCCGAAGCGCGCCTCGCGCCTGCCTCACCTGCACCGTCACGCGCCCTGCCCGAATGCCGCCCGTCGCGGCCCTGGCTTCTCGGCCCGTCGCGGCCCTGCCCTAACGGCCCGTCGCGACCCCCTGCTTTCTTGGCCCGTCGCGGCCTTGCCCTCTCGCCGCCTCGTCGCGGCCCCGACCTAGCCGCCTAGTCGCGGCCCTGCCCTGCCGCCCGTCCGCGGCCCTGCCTTGCCGCCCGTCGCGGCCTACCCTAGCCGCCTGTCGCGGCCCTACCCTGCAGCCTCTCGTCACGGCCCCGACCTTGCGGCCCGCCGCGGCCTCTGCCCTGCCGCTGCTCGTCGTGGCCCTGCACTGCCGCCGCCCTGTCACGGCCCTGCACTGCCGCCGATGCGTCGCGGCCCTGCCCTTCAGCCGCCCCAGTCGCGGCCCTGACCTAACCGCCAGCTGCGGCCCTGCCTTGCACCCGCCCCTGGTAAGCACCCGCGCCGCCCAGCCGAGCCGCGCCGCTCCTCCGAGCTGCGCCGCCCTGCCGCGCCGCGCCGCCAGGAGCCGAGCCGCGCCACCCAGCCGAGC